ATTATTCTGTCTTTCGAATTTATCTATATCAAATATTTTTACGGGATATTTTATATTTGTCATATTTAACTGACTTACGTAGGGTACATAGTTAGAGACCCTTTCAGCATGATCATTAGCATTCCTTGGATATAAAGCTGCTAAAATTGACCAAAGAAAGCATTTATTATCCAAATTTTTTATATTTAAAACTGCTTTTGTCAATTTAATACTCTCTGGTGTGGGAATGTATGATTTTGGAGTTAAGGGCTTATACTTGTAAACATGTAACTGCCAATATTTAGTATGGTCATAAATCCATCCACTGCCTTGGGCTTGATATTTGTGTATAGATGCATCAATCTTTAAAAGAGCATTGTCAATTTGAGGCTTTAAATCTCTCTTCTCAATAGTTAAGGTGGTAATGCTTCTAAAATCTGCAATACATTCTTTCTCATTAACTAATTTTCCATTTTGATCCATAGAATATTTTATAAATTTGATTCTCCTTACTAAAGTCCATTTTATCGGCAGAGGACAAGAGTGAAGAGTATTTTTAAGTTTAGTTTTAATCGATTCACCAACAAATTTAATCATTGTATATGGACATTTGTTGCAAGAATGTACATGTCTTTTAAAATGACCAACAACATTTCTTTTACAGAAACTACAAGTCTTGTGAGTTATTAATATATGAGATTTTAGAGCTATGTTACTATCACAGATTAAATTACAAACTTTACACAGTTTTACCTTGATTTGATGTATCAAATTGTAGTGGCGAATCAGGTTACTTTTGGTGGAGAATGACACAGAGCAGTGTTGACATGTAGCCTTCATTTTATATATGTAACAAAAAACTAGGTTGGCATCTTCTATATAGTTGAAATTACATTTTAACAATTTCAATTAGTGAGAAATAATAATTTAAATCAGAATTTTAAATGTTAATATTCAAAACAATTTTATACAATAAGATTTTATAATTGCAATTTTCAAAATCAAAACTAGATCAAAAATTAAATTTGTTAAATAAAAAATACTTTTTAGCAATTCAGAATGTTGAGTCTACATTTATACAGTGTGTGCTATAGAGAAAACTACCTATGTTACCTCTGTTACCTTAATGAGTGAAATTCAGCTAATTGTATAAAAATCAGGACTTGTTATATTTTAACATAGTAGAAGTTATACAAAAATGACAAAGTGTCATGAGAGAAAAATAATATAAGTTTTAAAGAAAAATCCTGTAAAATTTTTTCTAAGTTCAAAAATAGGGATTTTAATGTTTAAGTTTCACTGCCATAGTAACTGTTGAGAAATACTCTTTAGTATAAATTACATTTTGACAATTTCAATTAATGAGAAATAATAGTTTAAATCAGAATTCTAAATTTCAATATTCAAAACAATTTTATACAATAAGATTTGACAATTGCAATTTTCAAAATCAAAACTAAATCTTAAAGGTTAAATTTGTTAAATAAAAGAATACTTTTTAGCAATTCAGAATGCTGAGTGGAGCGACACAGAGCAGTGTTCATGTAGTCTTCATTTTATATATGTAACTAAAAATTAGGTTGGCATCTTCTATATAGTTGAAATTACATTTTAACAATTTCAATTTGTAAGAAATAATAATTTAAATCAGAATTTTAAATGTTAATATTCAAAACAATTTTATACAATAAGATTTTATAATTGCAATTTTCAAAATCAAAACTAAATCAAAAATTAAATTTGTTAAATAAAAATACTTTTTAGCAATTCAGAATGCTGAGTCTACATTTATACATCGTGTGCTATAGAGAAAACTACCTATGTTACCTGTGTTACCTTAATGAGTGAAATTCAGCTAATTGTATAAAAATCAGGGCTTGTTATATTTTAACATAGTGGAAGTTATACAAAAATGACAAAGTGTCATTAGAGAAAAATAATGTTTTAAAAATAATAATAAAAATAATAAAATAATAATAATAAAATAATAAGTTTTAAAGAAAAATCCTGTACAATTTTTCTAAGTTCAAAAATTAGGACTTTAATGTTTAAGTTTCACTGTCACAAGTCTTTTGAAAAATACTCTCTCTAAGTTTCAAATAATAAATACACAGACAGGCAGTCACCTAACTAAGTCATTTCCGCACGAGCAAGCGAGGAAGTGTCCATACAACTGCAATTAATTATACAGACAGACCAGTCTCAGACATTCTATTCGCTACCGAGACAGGGGCGTGGCAGCGTAGGATGTCTAGACAGGTCCACGGTGCCGACGCCTTCCACTAGCCCAGCCCCGCATGTGAAAAAAACTTACCAGAGGAGAGAGATCAAGATGGCTGCGCTGGCTGCGACGGAAGGGGACTTACTGAAGGAACCGGTTTTCCCCGCCTTTTTATATAATTCCCAGCGAGTGAATTCATAAAATAATTTTTAACAATTGCAGTGTATTTGTAAAATTTATTTTAACAATTTCTGGAGAAAATTAAAATATGAAAGTACAAATTTAATTTAACACCTGTCACCTGTCATCACATCAATCACTGTCAATACGTCCGACGCCGCGCGCCTGTCTAGACATCTGGCACCACGCACCTGTCTAGACGTCTGGCACGGCGCACCTGTCTCGGCAACGAATAGAATGTCTGAGACTGGGCTGTCTGCATAATTAATTGCAGTGGTCTCAACACTTGCGCATTCAGGATCACCGAACCTTGGCGGAGGTACCCGAAGTAGCCTTGATGTGTTGTTAGTGTCGCTGTTGAAAGTGAGAAGACCGGTCGCACTCAAGGCCAGCAGCATGCCCGAGTTTACGCAGTAGTTATATATCAATGGTTTACGTACAAACCTCACACTGTCAAGTTGATGATTTTGAGAATATACATGTGAATGCATGTGGATTTGAAATAGTAATGAAGTTGTACAATGGTATTGAACATTTATATTGGGGTGTACAGGCGAAGATCAGGATTTTTGGATTTGGTGGCTAAAAATGATCCCCATAAGAATAACATGGGAAAAACGTGCCTAAAGTGGGGTCATACCGGTAGTTCACCACTACTAAATAGTGTATATTTTTATGTTGTGAAAAGACACATCCTCATTTGATAATATATATTTAATGCTGTAATTGTACATTTTGAAAGGGATAAAAAAAAATTCTGAACATTTCTTCTCTTTAGTATTTCCGACGTTGAGACATTAAGTTATTTTCATAATATCTTTTTATCTTTCTGTTACCATTTCATTGCATCACTTATATTTTTATGTTGTTCGCATTCTATTATACAGGGTGTTTGTGAACTCTCTCGAAAAAATTCATAGGATTGTTCCTTGGGTTAATACAAGAATATTTTACATTATAAACATGGGTCGCCGGAGCCTCGTTGTCCAGCTGTCCGTCTGTATGTGATTTTCACAAACGAATCCATAACTTTCGAATTCCTTAAACGATTAACTTGAAACTTGGTACGTAAGTAGTGACAAGTAAGACTAATCTTTGCACAAAGTATCAGGCTTATAAGTTGAACCAATTCAAAATGGCGGCCATTTAAATTCTTTCTTAAATAACTCAAAAACCATTGATTTTACAAAAAATTTACAAGAATAACTTTTTTTAGACAATTTAATTACAAATCGATTGACACCTTATTTTTTGAGATCGGACAAATATCAACTGAGATATGGCAGCTTTAGTGATACGTGACCACTAGAGGTTAGCTGCAGTGCATACCAGAGCATGCGGCTTAAGTCTGCCACAACAATGCAAGTCTCTGTCCGCTTTATAAGTTATTTTTAAGCGATTTTAGATTATTTCAAACAATAATAAAACTATACATAACCCTAAAAGTTCTTATTCAAAGAAAGACTTTATTTAATAAAGTCAGTTCCTCTACCTTTTTACGCTGAGTGTACACTTTAAAAGTGATGAATAAATAATAACATTTTCAGGTCACAATAAAATCAGCTGATTAGTTGATAAACATACGTTGACTTCACCACAGCTGATACAAATAGTTTGAGTTTTCTGTGTTTATTTTAAAGACAGTAAAAAGGTGTGCAACTTAACTTAGCCATGGTACTTTTTTTTTTTTGTCCTAGGACGCTAGGCACGAGCCTGGGATTGTTTTTCACATTACTTCAGGCTAGACCTAGGGGTTACGGCATTATCACTTAGATAAAATCCATTGGTGACTTGGTGGGGATCGAACCCGGGACCTCAGGGACTGAAGTCCCGCGCTCTAACCACTACGCCAGCTCGCTCCCCTAGCCATGGTACTACTGATGGATAATTTATAAAAAAAATACTTTTAGGGTTATGTTATAATTTTATTATTGTTTGAAATAATCTAAAATCGCTTAAAAATAACTTATAAAGCGGACGGAGACTGTTGCATTGTTGTGGCAGACTTAAGCCGCATGCTCTGGTATGCACTGCAGCTAACCTCTAGTGGTCACGTATCACTAAAGCTGCCATATCTCAGTTGATATTTGTCCGATCTCAAAAAATAAGGTGTCAATCGATTTGTAATTAAATTGTCTAAAAAAAGTTATGCTTGTAAATTTTTTGTAAAATCAATGGTTTTTGAGTTATTTAAGAAAGAAAATTTTAAATGGCCGCCATTTTGAATTGGTTCAACTTATAAACCTGATACTTTGTGCAAAGATTAGTCTTACTTGTCACTACTTACGTACCAAGTTTCAATTTAATCGTTTAAGGAATTCGAAAGTTATGGATTCATTTGTAAAAATCACATACAGACGGACAGCCGGACAACGAGGCTCCGGCGACCCATTTTTATAATGTAAAATATTCTTGTATTAACCCAAGGAACAATCCTATGAATTTTTTCGAGAGAGTTCACAAACACCCTATAAACTTTGTGTGCTTAAATATGGTTACCACATACCTTTTCCTACATGCTAGCATAGAAGTACTGTATGTATCAGTTAGAATATAGGCTATGTAATGTGAGTGTATGAGTATTTATTATTTTTGATTTTTTCTGTTTGATGGAAACCAGTTGAGGGAGGCCAGGAGGTTGGGGATGCGGCGTAATCTCCAGCGGAGTGTGGAATGTTGAACAACCTTGAGGGGGGATTCTGAAAACATCTGAGCCAATTTGAGTTTCATAAATAAAACAGATTTCCTTGAAATGTAAAGTATTTTAACTGTTTTTAATCCTTCAAACTTATTCGTTTGGGTGTAAAAAATAGTATACATATATAGTAAAAACAATAAATTTTCACGTGAAAAACACAAATATGCTGTTATTTTTACGTAAAATGCTCAAAGAGGTAAAACTTGAGTATATACAATGAGTTAAAAATGTGATATTTACGTGAAAAATGTTAAATATGTAAAAATAAAGTGCAATTGAAACGTTGTTTTCACGCCTTTTTTCACGATATATTCACGTGAAAAGTTGAGTCATCTGCACCGTAAAATGATGAAAAAAACGTAAAATTGATAATTGTGCACGTGAAATTCACGTTACGAATGTACAGGGGAAACGTGATTAATACGAGAATTTTTCGTTTGTGTGCTATCTGGGGACTGGTCAATAAATTTGTTATTAGGAGGAGAAGATTTTTGAGAAGTTAACGCTTTGAGTGTTTATATTACGTTTAATTTTCAGTTAAAATTATAGTTGTATATTACCAAAGGTGCTTGTTAAAACGATGATATTTAATGTAAACGAATAAATTAATATATTAGATAATAATTTTATTAATATTCAATTTTTACAAGAGCATTCGCGAAAGCGTTGCTAAAAGAATTGTAAAAGGGCCGTGCAGGAACAGGTAATTGCCCTGCAGGTCAGTTAGGGCTGCATCAATTGACTATGCGGAGGAGTGTTTCACTATGAGAAGGGTTCAATGATTGCAGTTAATAATGTTTTTGGTAGTAGTGTAGTTAAGGGGTGTTTTTTCCACCTATGTCAAAACACTTGGCAACACATCCAGGGAAACGATATGATGAAACTATTCAAGAGTCGTCCTTACATTAAGCTACAGTGCATGATGTTGGATGCTCTGGCCTTCCAGCGGTGGCAGACGAACCAGCTGGAATGCAGGCTGGACGAATGATGCTCTATAACTACAGTTTATTGATCACTCGAACAATATTTTATTTATCGTAGTTGTCAGCTGATGTGTTTCAATTTGATCGATATATCGAGAAAAAAATCATCGATAATAATGAATGTTCCCTTTAACAGGAAAGTACCCTTTATTTCACATGTAAAGCATACAAAAGAAGATAAAGTTCTGCTGATTATAGATAATCATGAGACACATCTTTCGCATGATGCTGTGGTTAAGGCGTCTCATGCTGGAATCGTGATGTTAACATTCCCACCTCACACTTCACATAAATTACAACCACTTGATGTATCGGTTTACTAACGAGCTACAATCGATCTACAATCAAGCAGTTGATGCTTGGTTGATGAACAATCCTGGGAAAACCTTCGACATTTTAAAGCCGTCAATTATATACCTATAATTATACGGTTGTAAGGGGCTCATCGAAGAGCAAAATGACAAAAGAAAATACCATAATATATACATGGAATGAAAATGATTTTGCAAAGGGCTCAAATGAAATTTGTTCATCAGTATTTCACTGTCTTAATTTGTTTGATATTTCAAAATTTGATTTCTATGTGTTCATATTATCTGTTGAATGTTGCACCTCCCAACATTACAGAAATAGAATTAGTTTTTCCCATCCCTGGACACTCATTTTTGCCCTCCGATGGAGTGTTAGGACGGATAGAAAAAGTACTTAAGACCATGCCTGTTATTAACAATCCACATGAGTACTTGGATGTTTTTAACATGCATGGAACTGTTTACAAGCTAGGAACAGATTTCACCATCTATGATTGGAAAAAAGCTACAAAGGCCTACTTCAAACCGACTAAAAATTGGCAATTTAAATTTGCTCCATGCAAACGGTCTGTGTTCACCAAGTGAAAGACTGCGACAACAGTGTTTGTTAGAGGAGAGCCGTACTATGCATCAAATTTAGGAAGTGGAAGATCACTCCTGAAAAAGGGGCAACAAATAAACAACTTGTTGTTATCAGAAGTGCGACGTGGCCACCCAGTTAAAGCAGCAAAGGTTAAGGATATTGAAACCCTTCTTGTAAAACACTATGGTGAAAACTGGCGTGCTGTACCAGGTAACGATTTCTTGCACAGGTTTCTGGATCATGCCAATATCGGAGATGATGAGGGTGCTCCCGAGGAAGAATTCTGTGAATAGATAGCCATCCATTAGATAGCCCCACGGAAGAGTGCCAAGATATATCTGATGAGGCCGATACAATAATACAAAAGAGACGAATCAGGTAACCAATCAGGAAGACCACGACCATGACTACTGCCAAACATCTACTTCCAAGGAAATCGAAGGAGGAGCTTCACTAGTAAATCATATGGTGTCACCAGAACAAATTCAGCAATATCCTAAAGCACTGCAGAGGAAAACAACTCGACGAGGAAGAAAACCACGGTTGTTTTGCGATCCTAATGGTTAGCGTCTCGGGCTTCGGTGCGGGAGGGACGGGTTCAAGCCCCGGCACATCCACTAAACATTTTTTCTCTTGTGACTCTCTCGTGAAATGCCTCTGGCGTAGGTGGAAGAAAAGAGAAAGTTTTGATTAAGAAGGACTTCACGAATGAATGACTTGCTGAAAGTCATTGTAGGAAATAAACTAAAATTCTCCCTTTATGTATATATATATATGTGTGTATATATATAACAACCAGGAAGAAGCAAAATTGCGACAGACACCCCTGAGAAAGAAGAAATAAGAAGAGAAACAAATAAGAACGAGGTAAAAAAAATCAAATTGTCATGAACAAGTCTATAAAACATCCAAAGAAGAAACAAAATATAAGCAGAAAGATTGAATGTGATAGTGAATCTGAAATTGATGATCGAGTTCCCTATGATGAAGAAGATTAAGGAAATGACTTCTCTGCTTTGCAACGAATTGTAAATTCGTAGTATAAGCTCAGGAGGAGCTCGAGTTTGAGAGGCCTACTTATTGTAATGAAGACTACTTATAAGTAGGTTTTGATAAGAAAAGAGGACCAAAAGAATATTATGTAGGGCAAATTTGAATTTTGAGTTAAGTTTTTCTATCGCATCGGTTCAAGTAATAAGTTTATCGTCAAGTCAACGGAAGAGTTTGATGTCAACGAAGAGGACATTCTGATCAAACTCCCAAAACCAACAATTTGCACTGGGTCGCAGAGGACATCGGGACAAATCTGGTTCAAAGTGGATTTTGCCACTTACTACGTTAAGTAGGTTAGCAGTTATTGCATCAAGTTTCAAAATTTTATTTAGTTTTTGTAGGCTACCTTTGTAATAATAGACTGAGAGAAAAAATGAAATAATTATTTAACTTTATTATTGTTACAGATGATCTAAGTTTTTATTACTTAATTTTATTTGGTTTGACATGTAACACATGTACCAAGAGTTTTAATAACATGCAATACATATTTTTCTTTCCATTATTGTGTTTTTTAGCTATCCTCTTCAACTTCAAGGTACTTTATGTTCCCGATCCAAGGTACAAGATGTTGTACCGTGGATCACAAGTACAAAAATTTTTATTTTTCAATTAAAAAATATGTATAGTTAATATTAAGGAGAAATTAAAAAAATGTTCACTAAAGATATAGCCTCTAACAATAGGGTTACTTTTGTTTCGTTTTTAAACGTAATTTTCAATTTTTTTTAAATATTTTAATAATTATATGATCCAAGGTACAACAGTTTCCCCTATATTTTAACGGGGTAGCGGATTTTTATCCCCCTGTAATTTTACCCCCTGGGCAAACGACACGTCACAAACCAGGGGGTAAAATTCCGGCCGCGAACTTTTGAGTTTCGCGACATCAGCTCGATGGATTAAACGCGGAATTAAACATATATTTTCACGGTTGTGAATTTAATCAGAACACATCAAATTATAAAAACCTAGAGTTTACGGCCCGGATTTTTACCCCCGGAATTTTACCCCCTGGCCAGATATATAAATTAGTGGGAATGATTAATTAACTTCGTTCTGTCCTATATAAATTTATTTGTAACATTAACTAATCAAACAGGTTTTCAATTTTAGTTTTGAGATTCCTTTTAGTATTAGGATTCGTACTTGAAGCCAACAGCTGGTTAATATGACGTATAAACAATCAACTGAATGATAATTGTTTCGGATATTTCATTACAAAATAAACAAATAAAGATAGGCTACTAAATAATGAAATGTTTACAATTAATTAAAAACAGAAATAATAAAATCAATCATTGAATTTCTAAAATCGGCCGGGGGGTAAAATTCCGGGGGTAAAAATCCAGCCCGTACATCTTCAGTTGTCTAAACGCTAGTTATATGGACAGGGGGTAAAATTCCGGTTTGTATCGCTAATCTAATTAATCACGCTCTGGCTATTTTCATTAGACTTCAAAATCCGCGGGGGTAAAATTCCAGCCACGAACAAACTTTTGGCCACTCAGGTTACTACGTCATAGTGACGTCAGCTTTGCCCAGGGGGTAAAGTTCCAGGGGGATAAAATTCCTGCGACCCTATTTCAACTATAAAAACAATTTAAAATTAAGTTTTATTTCAGTCAGTTTCCGACAGTAACTTTTTGAAGTTGTCCTAAATAAATAATGGAAAACATACGTACACTCCAACAACGCCAGGTAGTCTGCCAAAGAAGTCTTTGCGAACTTCGCTCTTGTACTGGACGAGACAAGGCATGGAGGGTCGGTACGGTGTGTCCCCCTCTAGTCGGTAAACCTTCTCTGTCTCGTCCGCATCGAACACAAACAGCAAGTCCGGCCGACCGATGAGACCGGACAGTTTCACTATCTGGCCGTACTGCTCGTACAGTAGTCTGGACACCCGGGCCAGATCTGATACTTGGTACTGCCCTGCAACAGTATACAGTAGTTGACTAAGTGGCATTTAAATATTACATTATAAACCTATAATAACGTAGCCCAATGCAGCAAGTTCTGCGTTTATAATTATTTACAGTAACTTATAAGATAATATTTATGTACAAGACAGCAAAAAATCGTGCTTTTTCACGTGTAATGGTAGACATTTTTATGAAATCCATTTGGTTTTGTAGTTGTTTGCATTGCATTTAAATTTACTTTCAGAAATACCTCAAGGGCAATAATCCAATAAAACCCACATGATTTATAAATTGATAATGATTTCATGAATGCAGCTAAACAACATCGTTCAAGAGTCCCTCAGAACAACACTCGAAAATAATTATGATTCAAATGGTAACGCTAGACCAACATTCATGTTTTTTTTTTAAGGAGAACATTAGACTAAGATTCGTAATTTAGATAATCCTCATCGAAACCAACCAATTCCCCATGCTTCAAAGCCAAACGCTGCTAACTAAGCTTTCAAGGTTGTTCTTTATGCATCTAAAAACTGAAAATGAGACTGAACCTTGATCCTATCCAGATTCTCTTATCGTATTGCATCATATCAGCAGCCTGACGTAAACGTATCTCCCTCTAACAAATATGTTGACAACTTTCCAGAAACACTTGTAGGGTACATCTACAATGTGAGCACCTGACCTACGACTGGCAGCAGCCTCCAAGTGTTGCCCAGTAGTGGTAGCGGCCTCGGTCCAGGTACCTCACTGTAGGGCCTTGCGAGGGCGAGCTCCTCACACACAGAGGCCACTGAGGAGGCGGCGCGACCTGCCGCTCGCATCCTGTAACCAACACATCACGTAAAATAAAACAATAAACAACGATAAAACAATGTGAAGGACCGGAGTGGACAACTAGATATAAGCATTCACAAACTTACATAATCTAATACTTATATGATTCTAAGTTACAGTACATAGCATGATAATAATTTTAATAAATTTATTGAATATCTAGAAAATGCATTGAACAAACTAACAGATTTCAACATGCCCATAATTGTTTGTGGGGATATATAGGGATATATAACAAATCAAATATGGATGAGCTTATTTTTAGACTGAACCAAGAAGAATGGATCAAGTAAAATGATGATAGGCCAAATAATTGTGACTTAGCTTCTAAGGATTTTTACGATAGCTTAATGTACTGCTTTATGGTTAGCTTCCCCAAAAAGGTAGTTAGGTTAAAAAATGAAAAGGACACAGCTAGGATAGATGATAAAGTGGTTGATTCCCGAGAGAATCTTGTAAATATTTATTGGCAAAGTATGATAACACAGGATATTAACTGTATACTGGAATATAGTAAAGCTAAGAAATTGCACACTCAAACTATAGCAAACAGCAAGAAAAAGTTTTATAACAATAAAATAGTTAATTCATCAAATGTGAGTAAAGAATCCTGGAAAATAGTACATAGCCTAACAGAGGAAAATGTAACTCATGATAACCTAACAATTAAATCCAATAACTCAGTTCAAGAAAACCCTATTGTGGTAGCTAACCTGTTTAATAATTATTTTTACGAAGAAGTAGACAAATTACTCGTAATTGGAGCCAATTCAGGTAGGCCTATATCCTCGGACCTTCCAAACTTCAATTTAGTAGATTTACCCAATCATGACATATTAGAAATAAAACATACAAATGAAAAAGAAGTAGTGGAAATTGTACAAAAAGTATGTCGTACTTCAGGTGTGTTCAGGTGTGGATGGGGTTACTTGCAAGGTACTGTTGGCTTGCGTTGATGTAATCGCAAAACCATTATCTGTGATCATTAATAAGTCTTTTGACGAAGGAAAATTTCCAGACATAATCAAAACTTCAAAAATCGTTCCTATTCACAAGAAGAATAGTATAGAGGAGGTAAGCAATTATAGGCCAGCGGCCATACAGTCAGTTTTTTCAAAACATTTTGAAGTGGCATATTTAAATAGATTAATACCATACTTAGAAAAAAATGACATTTTAAAATCTAATCAATATGGATTCCGTAAAAATAAGTCGACAATTGATGCTGTGTTCTCGCTGATTACCCATGTACATGAAAAAGTAGATTGCTCTGAAGAAGTACTTGGACTATTTTATGATATCACTAAGGCTTTTAATTGCCTTAATAACTCGATCCTAAAATTAAAACTACAAAAATTGGGTATAGTAAATGCCCCTTTAAATTAGATTATGTCATTTCTTGGGAACAGATCTCAGTTAGTAGCCGTAAATAACTTAGGTGCTGATAATGTCATAAGACAATGCAGATCAAAAATTCAGAATAACATCAACACTGGAGTCCCGCAGAGCTCAAATATAGGACCTGTGCTGTATTTGTTATGAGTCAATGATTTACAAGAGACAATACAAGAGGGCTCTTTGGCTTTTTGCGGATGATGTTTGCCATCTAGTTAATAATAAAAGCTCTGAGGAAACAATATGCAAGTCCCAGATAGGCGTTCATCAGATGGAAGAATGGTGCAACGACAACAAATTAGTACTAAATGAAAACAAAACATTAGTTTTAAATTTTTTCAATACAAAGGCACCTGACCATAGCCCTCTCTTAAAATAAAAAAAAACTTAAAAATAAATGATAACGTAAATTATCTTGGAATCAAAATAAGCAATAACCTTAGATGGAATATCCATATTGATCATATAACCTCAAGACTTGTGGTAGTATGCTGTCTTTTGCGCAGACTACAAAACATAGTGGATCATCATATCCTGATGAAAGTTTATTATGGCTGCTTTCATAGCGTATTGAGTTATGGCATCGTACTTTGGGGCAACAACAGTGAAGCAAACAGAGTCTTTCTACTACAGAAGAGAATTATTAGAATAATTTGTAAAACCCATTTTTTAGAACATTGCAGACCACGTTTTATTAATCTTAAAGTTCCCACCCTTACCTCCGTTTATATATTGGAATCAGCTATGATGATATGGAAATTTCCGGAAGACTTCAAACGCAACCAAGAAATACATAATTACAACACCAGGCAACAAAACCATATACACCTGAATTGTCACCGAACATCATTGGTAATAGCTGGACCACATCATACAGGTTAATAGTAGGACCTATTTAAATGTTTGAAAGTTTTTTGTGCGTTGTTGTATCCCATATGTGTGTATTTATTTGGATATAATTTTCAACTATTTTATTAATGAAACGTTCTTGGAAACCAGATCACTTTACAATTCCTGACCGTACTTTAAACTGTTGACGTGCATATATGCCTTATAATCAAACAGTTCAGGGGTGTTTTTTTAAGAAAGTAATAATTAATTGAGAGTGATTTTTTAAAGGTAAAATTAAGTTAAATAGGCAGTGAAATAACTGAAAGAAGTTGAGTGGAAAAATTTGTACTTTTAATAATAAACGTGAAAATATGGCAAAAAAAGAGTTTTTACAAAAATGTTAATTTTTGTCTTTTTGGAGCGCGCTCTAGCGGGCTAAGTATGTGTTTGATAAAGAAAGATATGTATGTATTTTGTAAAAAATGTTATGATCTTTAATTTTCATATTTAGTAGAACGCATAGTTACCGAGTAATAAGCAAGAAACTGAAAAAAGTACGAAGATTTTTCATAGTTTTTGCGTCTAGCTCAAAACGCACAAGGAATTTTTGTTAGATCTCTCCAGATTCTGATTCAACGCCCCAAAAAAACATAGAAATAAGAAAAGAATCGTCGCAGATATATTTTTTAACTTCAAAATATCGTTTGACGAATTAGGGAGTTGAATTAGTCAAAGAGAAGTATTTGCAAAGTCTTTGTTAGATCTCTTCAGATTCTGATTCAGCGCCCCAAAAAAACATATAAATAAGAAAAGAATCGTCGCAGTTATATTTTGTAGCTTCAAAATACCGTTTGACGAATTAGGGAGTTGAATTAGTCAAAGAGAAGTATTTGCAATTTCATTATTTATGTAGCAAATTACGGTATTTGCATTTTAGAAATGCAGCATTGCTTTGTAATTTACATTATTTGTCAACCTTGATCAACCATATTTTGTAAATAACGCAATAATATCAATAGTCATTATTGATAATTTTTCACTTATAACTCAATAAAGAATACTAAATGCTAAAAACTTGTATAATTTAACTCTATTTATCGGAGTTAGATGAAATAGCGTAAGCCTTGGAAGTAACCGCCGATTCGACGGGTTTCACCTAGTTTAATAAATTTTAGGAATTAAATTATTAAACTAGATTTAATGCCTCATCCCTCTATTATAAGACAAAACTGCTGTGCCACAATTTCACCATTTTCGATATTAACACGAAGCACAAACTTAAATGTTTTTGGTTTGATGAAACCCAGGCAGATATTTCTGCGAACCCTTTTGCCTCTTTCGCATTGGACTAATTAAGTAATGTCTGCTTAGATAACCCACCGGTCATTCTATGGCGTGACGGCTGCACAGCCCAAAATAGGAATGCCATATTTTTAAATGCATTATTGAGTTTCAGCCATGAACAAAACATCCGAATTACTCAGAGGTTTGTTGAAAAAGACCACACGCAGATGGAAGTTGATTCAGTCCACGCTGTTATTGAACGACAAATTAAAAACAAACTTATTAACTTACCAAGTGATTACTTAAGGTACACGTATGAAAACTATGACAAGGAGGCAGTAACGTTCGAATCAATAACCAACTTTTCTGTGAAGATGTACGACAGCCTAAGGCCTGGGAAAAACATTAGAAAATGATAGTGTTTTTTAAACACTTAAACATAGTTTCCTCGTAATTTTGTAGATTTATTAGAAAACAATATGATATAATGGGTTTGGTAGACAACATAAATCCCACTTTTAATGCACAGTTGGGCTCTTCAATACAGCCTAGTTATATGTCGTAGTGATTTCGTTAAATAAAATAAATTTAAATGTTATTGTAAAATGAACAAGATGACAAATAAAGTTCCAGTTTACTCATAATGGTTGAGTGCCCACGGTCGTATTTTATGTTTGTTACTGAAATTCAGTTTGAACTTTATTTCAGAAAAATAGACAATGTTTAATGTTAATATAGCTTTGACGATGAGAGGTAGTGACAAAAGCAGCGGCTGTGCAGCTGATTGTGACACTCTTCACGCATACGTAGTCACGGACATTCGTGATGAGCAACGCAATGTGTTCATGGGACTACAGTCACATACTAAACACTTGGTGTTCTGGTACTGAAGAAACTCCTAGATGTCCGGAAACAATACTGAAGAGACGTAGGCGTATTCGACTATTCAATGACTTATTAATCGAAAGCTACGTGTTGCTGTCCACGCTCGATCGTTCTTAAGTTCTCGACTTCGTCTCGAGTTTAAAAAAGTGTCTCAAGCCAGCGAAACCTGATTTTTGCCCCTTGGTACGAAATATAATATTTTGTCTATTTACCGTTATGTTTACATAAAGTGCCCGAAGACGTGTATTGTATTTGTTTATGACTATGTAAATACTATTTGCTGAACTATGTTTACTGCAACGAATCATGTTAAGCTGTGCATGATCAATTTAATCTTACTGCTAAAACATAGCGAACTTTTACAACTATTGCTATAAATTTGTCTCTAGCAAAATCATTCAAGTTAGAGAATCGTTCTATCTCGGTGTAAAACTTAAAAAAATAAGTAATTTCCTTTAACAGCAAACCTATATATTATAAATTTATATGCTGTAAATTAAGTAATAAAAATTAAGTAACCGATCGAATGCAAACCAAGTGTTATTGCTAATATATTATATGGAGAGCAGTGTTGAAAGGAAAGGACGACGACCAGTTCAACGCTCTCCAGGTTCACGCAGTGTGGAAGTGTTTCAAGGATAGCAACATACTCGCGGGTCACAGACGGAGATAGAGGAAGAGAGAGTGAGAGGGGAGAAGGAATGATGATGACCTAAACATTGCCCACGCCACACTCAGGTCGCTCCGTCGTGTCTTCTGCTTTCTAATCGCAACTCACTTTCCTGAATTCTACATTTGCTATCTTGGAATTGACTAGCTAACAATAGAAAGTAAGAGGGATTTACAAGTGGTCTAATTTGATGTAACAGAATTTACAGCATTCATAACTAGAAGCAATCGTCTAATTCTAATTTTCAACAGTAAAATATAGTCAAAGCAACAATTATATAATATTGCACGTAATTGTTATTGAATACTTTAATTGTTATTATCATCAAGGTTATCCACAACAATATAGTCAATTACAGAAGTTGTGCCTAAATTCCCTCTAAGACATCAGTCAACCCGATCGTTGAAGTATCTAATACTCAAATCCTATAATCTATTACGAGCTATGCCTGTTTGTCCGTCTGGCTGTTTGATGTATCTTGAAATCCAGCGGAAGGGTTTTGACTAAATTTCGGAATTAGGGGCTTATGGCCCTTAAAACGTGATTGGTACCACTACCTCAGGAATATTCGTATTTCGCTACAAAACTCGTTTGAAAATAAAAATAAATTAATATTGACCTTATGGGTTGCCAAGTGTTGGTTGAACAAATTAACAAGTAAAAGTAAACAAAAGACATGTTGTACATGTATTTATAACAAGCCATCAACAGTATACTAGCAAAATTACAAAATACAGTATAAAGGAAAAAACAAAAAGTTGTAACAATTCAACAAAGATGATTATTTTACTTAGCCCTCTCCCACTAAATTACACCTACTCTTACACCTGCCTGTTTTAATTAGCATAACACTACCGTATACTAAATTCCAATGAAAAAAGACAAAATCTCAATGTCTTTAAAAGTAGTGGTAAAAAGAAAAAAATCGTTGTCAAATCCTATTTAAAAACTAAAATTATTTTGTTTTTTATCTACTGTCATTGGTGAGCTTAAAAGACGCACAACGGGTTTCAATAGCTAGACGGGAGAAAGATGTTGTACGAGTAGCACTTAAACTTAAGCAAGATCACAAAAGTTTGTCTTATTTTTGTTGAATTGCATACTTTTAGATTGCATACTTTTAGATTGCATATTTGTTATTATTTCAGCGATCAAATGTCTATGGTTTGTAACCGAAATGATTTTCGTAAATTTTAAAGGGCTGTTAATGATAGTGTGTTAACGATTCAAACCCATCTTGTTAATGTTGTATCCATTTTCTAAACTGGCGTAAGCTGTTGGGAAATACATAAACTGAATTAACGACAACCGAGCAAGTCTCGGCCTCCCCTGAACTAGTCGATTACAGAAAGAGTGCCTCAATTCCCCTTATGACTTCGATCAGCCCGTTCGTTAAAGTCTCTAATGTTACAATAGTAATTATATGTACGATTCTAACTTTGTCGATAAACTATCAAAATTAATCAAGCCGTTTAACTATCTTAACATACTAGCTCTGTCATGCCCAGTCTTTAATGAATGGTTCTGGATGAAAGAGTGTTCATGAACCAGCTACGCCTTTACCATGTGTTAGAATAGTGACAACTGGTATGAATTAGTATGAATGGGTATGAATGGGTAGCCAGAGAATGAATGGACGGTAATGAATGGGCGAGTACACCTTCGTTGACGTTTGTATTCTAGACGTGGTAAATATTTACTTGACCAACTCTACCTAGTTATGAGTTTGCTGGTTAACACAACTTTCAAGGTTGTCTCTCTAGCATTTGTTTAGATTATTGACGTTAATCTTGGCAAGTTAAAGACTGTAGGCAAATTATGTGACTCGTACACAAGCTTAAACCATATTTTATTCATTAGCTGAATGCTCTTTCATGGGTTACACCACGAAAGATGCAGCTAGAATATTTAATTTTCATATAATAATAAAATTTTAAAATGAAGGCTAACAGGGTATTATACGGTTATGTTATTGAAAATTAGATATGCTATGGATCAGGCTTATGTAGTATATAGTTAATGTTTCTACACAGCTAACAATACAAATTAGTTGACCTGGTCATTTTTTAAACCTAAGTACTCAACTCATTTTGAAATGGCCAAAAATAATGTAACAAATTACTTTGCAAATGTAACGTAATATCTAATGACAGTTTTGGTAACAATACTTTCTTTATATCACTTCTTAAGAACAAAAAATAATAATAAATACGCATCTAAATTGATGCGTAAATTAGTATTTCTGGGTTGGTTAGGAAACATTACAAATCTAAAAATAACGAACACATTGGTTGTAAAGATTTACGAAACCATGTGTTATCTAGAGTTGTTTAAACATTAACATGCTTTGGCTAAGTGCTCTGAGTGTAGTTGAACTATTAGGTACATTATTCGGGCTGAGGAATTGTAATGTGTGAAAATAGAGGTAGCCTAATGTTTTAGATGACAAGTAAACGTAACCCAATCAGAACGAGGAGCTACAAACGTAGGTAGTGGGAATGTTCATTCAAGGTTACCGTTGCGCAATATTACTACCATCGTAAACAATATAAGTACCTCATACAAGGCTAGTAGCCTGCTCGTTACTCCAGAGTAACCAGCTAAGGTTGTAACGGCAGTGTGTCATTAACTGGTGATGACTAAACGTAGCTCAATCGAAATATCATTTTACCATTGGTAAATAAAGTGCAGGGCGTTTTTTTAACGATACCCAATTTACAAGTACCATGAAACAAGCTCATATGTTGGCATACCTGTTTTCTTTTCTTAATTGCCAATTAGTTAATATGCATTGTTGCATAGTTATCTATGAGTTCTAGTGTTTTAAGGAATTCATCATCAATAAGACTCAGCATGGGATTTATGCACTCTTAAAGTGTGTGTCTTGCATGTATATTAAAGTAAATCCTTGGCCTTATACCGAGATAGGTTTGAAATTAAGATTCCATATGTAATTCCGTACCCAAAAAATCAACTATGCATAGTATTGTCAACAGTTAAAGAAAATCGAATCAGTAGAAAACAAAATAAACGTAGACCCACGATACAAAGTTCATTTTAAACGGAAATATCACGTTGAGCCTTAATAAATATGAATTCTCCGTAACAATAAACCTCATACATATCTTTGCAACAATGCAGATCAGCTGATCGACAATTATCAAGCGTGGAAAACAGGGATACCAACATATAAGCTTGTTTTGTCGTTAAAATGTGTCTCTTGGTAGTTGTAAAAAATTTCGCTGCGTTAAAAAAATAACACCCTGTAGTTATTCAAAGGGATTTTTAGTTGTTTTGTACACCATTCGTATCCAAAATTTTCTTAAAATCTGAAACATCTCATGGGTTACAAAATGATGGCAAACGCCGTACGTAGATATAGTAAACAGTCTGATCAAGTTATGAAAATTGGTTTAATACGTAATTATATAACTTATCGTGTTGTTTAAATTACCGACTTTCATATAGTTTGAAGATACGCTATGATCAAGTAACATTCAAATCTACTAATAAATAATGGGCATTGTCAGTTTTCATAAGACCCATGTTTTTAGAATCGTGTTTCATTTTTACTGGACTAGACATGTTATTAAAGTTGTCGTGTTTTAGGTCAACAACGTAATAAAAAAACTCTGGCATGCAACCGAGGGAACGTGAAAGTGTGTAATGTTTTCCCTCTCTTATAACTTTAAGCAATCTTAATGCTTTTTTTAGGTGACATCTATAAATTTTAAGTGTTATAACTTCTGATCAAGTGTAGCCTAATGACTATCTGTTAAAAAAAAAATAATAAAGACATATATTTATTGTTCGTACACTTCTGTAAAAACTAACTTTAAGGTTTGTGATAACGAAATTAAAATGGTAGGTTACTATGGTTTGATTCCGAGAGGAAAGAAAACGTTGCCAATAATAAACTGATATATTTTTAACACAATCCGACAGGAGAAAACTTTAAACAAAAAACTACGACTTATAAAAAGGTTGGTTGAATGGAATAATTGAAAGTAGTACGTGGCACGGTAGTACAACTGCCATGCTCTTTACAGACATTAAACACATATCTAGGAGCAAACTAATAAATTTTCGGTAAAAAAAAAACATTTTCTTAACTGTTAGTACAAGTTTTAATCATGTACGACTAATATTTTCTTTGATGTTTTACATTTTATGTGAGAAGGCGTGTATAAATTTTAATATTGGTCTTAATTTGTCCTATCACTGTTAAATTTATCTTTAGTTTTATTGTGTTTAGAACAATACACACTTCAAATATTGAAAATAAAAATGAATAACATAATAACACGACATACAATTCGCACAGTAATTGTAAGCAAGAAATTAGGGAAACTGGAAGTCGTCCGACTAATTTTCTACTTCTATTAGATTTTGAATTCATTTTGTAAATCAAATAGAAATACCACAGCTATTAATACATATACCTTGTATTTGAAAACTAGTACCTACTTAATTCAGTTGATCAATCCAAACACACGAAGGCACACAACACTACACTACACTACAGAGGCACTGGTAGGCGCGAGGACTGATTGTGATTGTGGATGTGAGCCTTATTCCTTCCCCCTCTCTCACTCTATCACACACAAACCTGTCTTGATGGACGACAATTTAATTGTTCACTTTCTCCGACCTTGTTAGGACATTGCAGTTAAGCCTGTGTGTTGGGTTTCAGCAAAACAGAAAACCGAGAGACTAGGTTTACCTTTACCTTTGTAAAATAGTCCATCAATTATACGAGTACTATTTCATAGAGGTAGAGTTAACATTTTTTCTTGAGAAAATATTCTCTAAGGGTCAGAAAAATGCATTTTAAACACCAATAACCGGAAGCTTGTCGTCGCACATCATGGTAAAAGAGTTATTAAAGGCAAAATCTTTGATAAAGGAGTGATCGTATTCCAACAGTGACATTTCAACTGTTGATTGTGTATACGAAAATACCTCATATCCGTCCGTACAGTTGTAATTTACGAAAATCGTCGTTTTACTTACTATCCAAAGATGATTTTATTGTCCTAAACACTGAGCAGGAATTAAAACTAGAGAAAGCACTGATACAGTGATAGTAATTTGGTTAGATTTGATGAAAACTGTTTTGAATGTTAAAAGAGTTATTACTCTTTTAACATATTGCTGAATATTGTGTTGTTGGGTTTACCATTGAACAGTTATTGGTCAAAATATTGATTTAATCTTTTAGTTTTGGGGAAAACGTTATTTGTAGGTACAAACAATTTATTGAGAGACGATGCAATGGATCATTATGACGCAGTCACTGCAACTGTTGTTGAAGAAACTTATTAGATTACACATTCCCAGATAGCACAGAATGTCTCACAGATATCTATTTCGGTTGATTTATGTCCAAAGATATCTATAGAGTTCTTTAAATATTTATAAGACATATTAATCTAAACATTCATAAGATATCTGAAATTATATGTCTGATCAACATCTAAAAAGGTATATATTTGTCCACAGATCATTTTGGAGATATATGTACATCCCATGGATATCTAATTTAAAATGTTTATAGAATATTGATTATGAATATCTTCAAGATGTCTATTAATATACATTAACTATAGTTTTTATAATTTTCCTCTATACCTGTGTCCTTATTTTGTATATTGTTTAAATAAAAAATATTCTTAAGAATTTGTTTATTATATTAAAGGATTTTTTTTAATATTTTTAAATTTCCATTTCATAACAAATATCAAAGTATATTAATGAATTTTATTTATAGACTAAACAACACAAAAGCTAGACTAATTAAAACAAAACATATTGAACGATATTTTACTGTAATAAATTATAAAAATACTTTTAGGATTAAACACACCTTTATGTAGATGAAAACACAAATAATTATTCTATAAATTTTTAGTGTAAAATTTTCCCCCAGCATTTTCAACACGCTATACACACACACACACACATATATATATATTTGTTCAGGAAAAGGTACTTCAAATAACTAATGACACATCTAGCCGTTTTAACGTTTTAATTGCTAGGAAAAGCTAGGTAATAAATATATTTATTTGTTATAATATTCAGAACCAAATTTGTTATAATAGTATTTAGTTTGTAGGCTGGTTTTGTTTATCTAAGACTTGGATTAGGCTACTCTTTGCAGTTCCATCATATACGTATAATAGAAAAAAGATGGTCAATTGGTCATACCGGGAACTATATAAGGAAAAATATTAATTTATCAACAAAATAGTTTTATTTACTTCAATAGGTTCAAATAAATATTAACGTTTCATTAACCAAAATAAATTAAAGCTAGCCACGTTAAAATTAATGTCTGAATTACTTTATGTAATTAAAAAAATAAATAGATTGAATTTGACTAACTCCACTTTTCTATTCTACCACACCTCGACACCACCCGCAATCATTCTTCTTCCTCAATCCTATTCCAAACCTCGCCGACCTGAGCTGGACCTCGTCGCCATCGCCATCGCCTCGCCATCTTATAGTCATAGTGCCGCCTCCACGCTTCCGCCATTCCATTGTGCTATATTATTATTGATCGTCTATCGTCTCTCGCCTCGCCTCTCTCTGGCTTTCTTTTCTCTATTTCATCCGTCCCCAATATCAGTGTTTCAGATTAACTTAGGTATTTGTTTGTCTAATGCCGTACTGGGAATGTACTGGTCGAATTTGTGTCGAGGGGGGAAGTAGAAGCCGTCCCAGCAACATGGTTATTCCACGAAAATCAAAAGTGCTACTGGCTTGAGAAGTCCTTCCACCCTAGTTCATTGATAAAAAAAGCTACTACCCCTGACCCAGACACCTGGAAAGTATATGAAGTCAGGGTTTTCAAAACCTTTGGTAAGTTAAGTTTCAATAAGTTGGGCCTAGGCCTATTAGTCCTAGGCTAATTAAGTTAGTGAAGTAAGCTAAAGTGTTGGCTAACCTAACTTAAAAATACTTGTGTAGTTTCTTAGCTTAGGGCCCCTATATGCATGAATAGGTAACTTATCCCCACCCCGCTGTCTGTTTCAGGCGAAAAAAGGTTTAGGCATGAGTTATCTCAGCTTCGTCCTAGTTTGGCTTTGCCTTGTGGTAAACTTAACTTATGTCAATTCAATATTTTTGGCCTAACTTGTAATAGCTCAAGCCTAGGCCTAGGCCTATTTCTTCTATGTACTTAACTAAGTAGGCCAAGGCCTAAGTTAGTGCTCTTCATTTCTGTTATCAACTTAGGCCTATACTTAGCCGCCTACTTAACCCTCCGAATGTTAGCCTAAGTGTCTTAAAAGCGACTCATAACTCACCCGCCGTGGTGTTGACTTATGCGTCGCTTATGCGACTCACTAACACTGTTTACGGCAATGGCTCTGGGACTGACTGAATCGGATTGAACTGAACTTATCGTTTTTTTCAGCAGATTCAGAGCTTTCTCCTGATGATGTATATTTCTAGATGCTTTTAATTACCGTAACTTACCAGTGTCATGACAATTATTGTTGCAACAGGCAACCAGCCTGTGTCTTACCAGCACGAAAATATCGTGCAAATAATGCTAAAAGACGTAACCTCAATTCCATGTACGTAACTTAAACCAAGTTAAAGAACTTAATAACAAATCGGTTCCAGACACTTGTTTTTTATAAAAATATATAAGAGCGAACACTTACAATCTGCCCATAGGTAAGTTTTATGTAGGCCTAACTGTAAAACTCAAATTCATTTTTTCGATCAACATAACTTAACTACTTTTCACGCCTATGTTTGTGGTAGAAAACCAGTAAGATACAAGGTTATTTAGGCGTGATTCTTCGTTTTATCAAAGAAAAAGCGGTTATGAAAATATTATTAATTGATTCTAATGTAGGCCTATTGAAAGTTGGAACGGATATTATAAAAACATTAACACATCTGAAAGAAGATTGTTTTCTCTAAACGTTCAGTCTCAGTGTTGTAATATCTGCCCACAGCCGCCATTTTGCTGGCTAGTGCGCATGAGCTGCGCGGTGCTGCCATTTACGTTTGCTTTGGGATTTTTATCCCTAAAACAGGACTTTCTAGACCATGTGCAGGATGCGGGATAAAACGAGACTATCGGCTCTTACGATTAGGTAGTTTTTCTTTTTATACTGCTTTACGTATAAACTAACACCAACTGAATGTTGTTCTATACCTACGTTTTGTGCTAGGCAAGTGCAGTTTTTTCTGAGAGAAGTAAGAAGACATTGAAAGTTTGCGTTTGTTGAATGCTAAAAATCCTTCAGAGCTTCAGAATAATGATTACCTTTATAATTCAAAAATGAATAGGCCTAGCACTTAATTTTTTTAATTTTTTAGGGATTGCCCGTTTTAACCAACCTTTTCAGTTATCCCTAGGTCCAGTCGGTTGAGAGGGAGTCTACCGGTAGACCTACTGTTTTACTTTTTAACCAAGATTTTTTTATTTTTCAAAATTTTCAATGATTAAGGCTAGGCGTTGTACAGTAGTTAAAGCGATATTCTGAAACAGCCCAAGTACAGTACTACAGTATTATTATCTTATTTTCAGATTCCTTGAAGGTGGCCCGTGAGAAAAGTGGGGGTACGAAATCACTTCCGACTTGAACAGTGATCAAGAAAATATCAAAAGAAATAAAATCCCCAACCCAAAATATATGTCAAGTTCTGAGGACGAAGATTGTGCTGGCAAACCAAAAAGACCAAAGACAGATTTTTTTAAAAACCAAGAGCCACTGAGAGATAGATCAGATAAATCAGATGACGAAGATTTTGCTGTTGGCCTAAATATCCTGCCTGACATCGATAGATTTGAATCCCCAATAGAACCAGGCAATAACAATAATTTCAATATAAGCACTCCTACCACTCAAAAATCTCTACCGGTACATAGCCCTGTTACACCACAACCCCTTCAAAGGCCTACATCTCATATCTTGGATGATCAAGGTAAGAACTAAGATTGTCACAGTAGGCCTAGTCTAATTGTTTTATAGGCTCAAATCTAACTTATGCTTTCTGGTATTTTATTTTTTATTTATTTATTTACCAACGGCAATAGGCTACACCAATTTACAAAGATAAAGATTGAAAGCTACAACAGTGAATGTTTGTATTTTGTGCTAGGCATTAACAACGATAAACAATGAAAAGAATAACAGTAGTAGAAATTAATTTTCTCTTGGTACAAGTAGGCTAATAGGCCTAGGCCAATAACTTAGTATTTTTAAACACCTGATATAATGTTGCCGTACGTAAATTGTAAGTGGTTTTTAAGTCCACTAACATTTTTATGTAGGTATTTTGAAGTAATGAAAATCTCAAATAACTCGTCACAAAACTCCTATTTCGGATCTCGAGATGGTTCAGATGTAGTAGTCTGCGCTCGGCTTCGCCTCTGCCGTAACCCATTTTCCCCTGGAATGTGACACTTTTTGGACTTATAAAGTAGTGAAGAAATGTGCAGGCCTACTACAGTTAACATTGCAAGTTAACTTGCAAATATAAACAATTTGAGTTTGATTTTTTTCTGCTGTCATAGGAGGGCAGTTATAATTTTTTTATTTGACGGACAAACCATTACATACAGGATACAATTAATCAATAAGCTTAATTTCATTTTTGGTTACCTTTTTGGTTTTTAATTACTAAACTAATAGGCACGTAATAATTTTCAGCATGGAAGAAGTCTGTAACCAAAACGCTTGCTGTGTTGAAAGTCAACCAAAACATAATCAAAGAACTGTTAGAGAGCCTGATAACCAAACAAAGTAGTACCGGTAACCGAACAGTAACAGAAAATGATGAAGACATGGATTTATCAGCCATTTTGGGAAATTTTCCACTTGAAACTTCACAAGATCTAGAGGATGTTGAAGAGAAACTCAAGGAAAAAGTCATTTTTGACCTTATGGTATGTATTTTAAAAATGCAGGATATTCCCTAGGCCTATAAAATAACTTTAATGTTAAGATTTTCAATTTCAAATTGTAATTTGCATATTAAAATACACTTGTTTGTGATCCTTGATATTTTTCAGCTTATTTCATCCATCTGTTACTCTTATAGTTGTTGTTCTTATAGGTTAACTTCATTCTTTTAATTTGTGTTCTATTTTTGTGAATGTTGATTAGAAAGTACTAAAAATTGATTAAATATCGACTATTTATTCATGTAGGCCTAATCAAATATACAACAGTTGTTCCAATTTCCAAGCTTGAATTTAATTTTCTTTTATTTAAATTCAAACTTTTATTATTTAAACTAGGTACACTAATTGCTCTGTCCATTTTGTTTCAGCATCAGATGTATGTTCCTCTATGTAATTGCCCCCTCTCCATACAACAATACCTTCCTCCACAGTCACCCTTCTTTGTTTTATATAATCTAAAGACATGTGTAACAATCAACTCTCATCTGCAGGTGAAACATTTCTCTATAGTCGGTGGGGAAAACACAAAAGAAGCAGTGAAAAGGCTGCTTCGAAGAATGTTCAGTGACGAATTGGCCAAAAATTACAGCTACCTTGGATTTAAGAAGAAGCGCGTCTTTGCTGATCTTCGCCTAAAATCAGTATTATTTGGTAAGAAAAGTAAATAGATTATTTTTTAATTATATACATGGGGAAAGATTAAATAATGTGTGAAACAAAGAAAAATGAATGGTAGTCTCTTGCTGTATCGTATTTGGCTTAGCCTATCTAACCTGAGATTACTGCTACGGTCAGAGCCAATCAGCTGTTAGCTCGCTGATTCACCTGTCAGCCAAGGCTTTGCTTTAGTTCTAATGCACAATGGGTAAATGTAAAATGGTGTTTTCCGTTGGTGTTCAATAAATAAATAAATAAACGATAGTTAGGTATATGATTAAATAATTTCTTGATCAGCATTGTACATGTTATTAAATTTACGGAAAGTAAATAAAAGAAACGTCTTATAACACTTAAAACATATATTTACGCTTATACTGTTACTCACAAGACGGTAAATATACAAAAAAGATGGTAAATGGTGATCGATTTCAATTGGACACTCCAATCATCATCAGACCCAATAGGCGAATGACAAGAATCCTAATGGCGTCCCTACTTATACCCTATTGGCTACCGGAAGCACCGGCCAATACACTTTTATAAGTACAACTGGAATCAAAATGTATTTGTTCATTAATCAACTTATTTCTATGAGCATTAGGAGAAAATTAAATGGTATATAGTTTGAAAAGAGAAGGTTTATTTTATAATTTTAATTGTATTGCGAAATTATCATCAAAACTCTTAAGGAAAGTTGCACTCCAAAGTATGTATAAAGCAGAAGAACCAAAGTTAAGTTTTACCTGAATTTGTGACACTGCCAATGAGTTTTTTACAGATATTTACTTTATTTTAGACTCAGTTCGAGCAAACACATCATTGGCCAAAACGACTGACTCGGAGATAGAAGGAGTCATCAAAGACTGGCTCCGGCAAGCAAAGTCAAGAGTGGAGCAAAAGACAAAGTAAGTCTTGTACTAATATAGGCTAGTCAAATTAAGGGTAAAAAAGGTTTAACATCAAACTAATTGTAAAAGAAACAAAGTAAGGTTTTTTAGATGCGGAATGGTGTCCCGAACAACATATCAAAAGTCTACCAAAATCCACGCGGGGGAAGTCCGCCATATTGGCCGCCATCTTTGATTTTTCAAAAAATCTGAGACTTATGAGTATTATGGCTCTTGAACGACCAAATATCAACCGAATAAGGCAAACAAAGTGTCTATTTAATATAGAATTAAACCAGCTTTTTGATTATAACATGTATACATTCGACAAGCCAAAATTGAGCAAATCCAAAAACACTTCGAAATAAACAGATTTTTTAATACTATTTCTCTTTAGTCCCCTGAAAGTAAATAATTACTCAATTTAACAATTGATCAGATCAATAATAATTTTAAAAAAATTCTAAGAGGTTTATAATAATATATATATACCAATATAGACGTATTCCTTTAGACGGGTTTAGAATGGGTAAAGAATTGTTTTAGCCAAACTTCATTGAACCGGCTTTCTCATACTATGAACACTCAGCTCTTTTGCTGTTTATAGGTAGTCATAAATAATGGTTGTTAGAGCTAAAGAGCTAATATGTAAGTTTACTAAAACACATAATATAGTTTAACAATTGGCAAAAATAAATATTAACACGGGTTTTTTAAGTCGAAGTTGTTTATATCAGTAAATAAAAAAAAAACACCGGCACTTATAACCCAGTAACCTTGTTATAAAAAAAAGGTCTACCTTGCATGAAATGGGGTGTGGGTAGTAGGTTTCTTTCTTTTATGTTGTTTGTAATAGTACAAATATGCTAAATCCAAATTTTCGACCTCGGCATCATTTTTTAAGTACATTAAATTACTTATCGTTTCAGACCTAAATGGTTAATACAGGCTTAATAGTTTTCTAGATGGATTTGTAAAATGGAAACAAATACAACGTATCCATCTACATAAACACACACGCACATTGTTACTATAACTGGTTCTTGTGGATAGAACACAGGCCTGTGTAGAACGGTATTTATTGTATTTGTATTGTCGCGGGAGCCGGTTGGAGAACACTGAAGGCGATGCGTCTGTGATTAGGTGATCCTTGTACCTTTGGACATGAACTCGTCTTGTGGGGGTATCAGTTGAAGATTGACTTGTTTGACTAACTTGAGACATTTGGATGTGTGCACTATAATTTAGTTTTTCAATCAATTGAGACAAGGGTAATGGTGAAAATCTATGTGTGAAGAAGTGCTTTAAATCTTCATCCGACTGCTTCAGAACACATAACCTGTGAAACAAATAGAGGGGGCCAATAGTCACCTTTATATTGCCATCAGTCACAGTATTAACTTTAGAAGAAAGATATACTACTCTATTCTTCCTTTTGTATCTGACTTATTCATATTTTTCTCATAAAACTTTTAAAATCGCTTCCTTGTCAATATCTCTAGCCATTGACAGTTTCCCTCCAACAATTCCACTGCTTAAGAACATTATAACGCTAGTATTAGGGAATGGAGGGTGACGTGACGAAGTAACCAGTCACAAAGCTTCTCTATATTCGCTTTAACTCGAGTGACTCGTGAGGGTCTCATTTCTAAATGCTACTCAGTTGTATGTGCCTTAACATTGCCGTAGGCCTACTCCTCAACCTCAGCACTTATATTCTACAGATAAATTATATCATTCCTAATGTCCATCGGGTGAGCACAGTGTCAGTTATACCACGGTTCCGACTCAAACCTACATAGTTTTTCATTAAGCAAATGAGCACCTGCTCTATAGTCATGTCCGTCCAAACATCCGTCTAGAACTTTTCAGAACGCACAATGGTGAAGAACCCGTTGGTGGTAAATAACTGGTGTTTATTGAAATCCGTCTTGTTTCCTAATTTCAACATATCCTGCAGGTACCGATGCAAAAACTTAGCATAAAAGAAGTAATATGTAGCATGGCAGAACGGCAGCAAAGTTAAAACCTGTTTTCACTGACGCCTCTTCATTCTTTCTATCAATTCCTCTTGATAGTATGTACATTTTAATTACAATAGATTTCATCCATTAAAAACTTAAAATCTTTTCTTGAAATGAAATAAATTTGTTTATATTCTTAGTATGGTTCTTTTATAAGATTTCACCAAATTGAATAGCTTTAAATCTTAAAATACAAACATTTATGGAAGATTTTATGAACCTTGAAGAGTCATATCTCTCAATGTGTTAGGCCTATAATCACCATTTTGGTCTTATATTGTGAGTAATTTTATGTTGTTTTAATGAAAAAATAATAGAAAGTTATGCTTTAGGGTTAACGTTAGCCAAACTTTAAAAAAGTTCAAAATGTTATAGTTTTGGCCATTGTTTGCTGGAAAACTATTAGGCCTGTAATAACCATTTTGGTCTTAAACGATAGGTAATTTAATGCACTTAAAAAATGATTATCGTTGTTCTTTATGAAAAAGTGATGCTTCAGTGTCAAAAATCACACAAACGTAAAAATAGTGCGAAGCTCCGCCGATTTTTAAGCTTTTTGGAGGTGATCCGGAAGGTCGCCGAGGTCGAAAATTTGGATTTAGCATCTCGGTACTATTACAAACAACATAAAAAAAAAGAAACCTACTACCCACACCCCATTTCATGCAAGGTAGACCTTGCTTTTTATAACAAGGTTACTGGGTTATAAGTGCCGGTGTTTTTTTATTTACTGATATAAACAACTTCGACTTAAAAAACCCGTGTTAATATTTATTTTTGTCAATTGTTAAACTATATTATGTGTTTTAGTAAACTTACATATTAGCTCTTTAGCTCTAACAACCATTATTCATGACTACCAATAAACAGCAAAAGAGCTGAGTGTTCATAGTATGAGAAAGCCGGTTCACTGAAGTTTGGCTAAAACAATTTTGATGATATATTTGTAGATGTCTATTATTATAAACCTCTTAGAATGTTTTTTAATTTGATCAATTGTTAAATTGAGTAATTATTTAGTTTCAGGGAACTAAAGAGGAAAACTATTTTTTTTAAGTGTTTTTTAGGATTTGCTAAATTTTGGCTTGTCGAATGTCTACATGTTATACATAATCAAAAAGCTGGTTTAATTCTATATTAAATAGACACTTTGTTTGCCTTATTCGGTTGATATTTGGTCGTTCAAGAGCCATAATACTCATAAGTCTCAGATTTTTGAAAAATCAAAGATGGCGGCCAATATGGCGGACTTCCCCCGCGTGGATTTTGGTAGACTTTTGATATGTTGTTCGGGACACCATTCCGCATCTAAAAAATCTTACTTTGTTTCTTATACAATTAGTTTGATGTTTTTCCTTAATTTGACTAGCCTAATACGATATAAGCACTGTTTCTGTTGACATCGTGAAAAAATTCTTTTGTATAAACTAAAGTTAACTTAAACAGGATCTCGAACTTTAAAAAAAAACCAAGTTGCACACCTATCAACCGCATACTTAAATGAAATATATACTTGAGAACCCCCCCCCACAATAATTATAACATAAATGTTAACCCTAACCAATAACATTTTCAATATTGAATATTGGTCAGCTGTCACAATTAAGGATGTAGCTGCTAAACGGGCCTAAGAGATATTCGTTAAAAATACAGTAAGCAGTACGGTACCGTACAATTGAGATTTTCCTATTCGATGATGTGCCTTAATGATTGTAGTGCAATTTTTTTTAAGTAGAATTAAAGTACCCTGTTTTTAACTTATCCTCTGCATTCTCATCCCGATTTAAAGCATGGACAAAGCAACTAGTAATTCTCTAGGTCCAGAATGTTGACAATTTATGACAAATGATTTTATACATAATGAAATTTGATTTTAAAAGGTAATTGCAGCAAAGAAGAGCTGTGAATGTACTATTTCCTTTCTCTCTAATGGACGTTTTGCTAACAGCCTATCAATTTGTTAATGTTTTAAATTAACATCAGCCTACATACCAAAGATCTTGTTAACAATAATTGTTACGTTCATTGCCTTGTACTATAGTTTTTTTTTTATTTCTTTTAGGAACAAACGGGGCAATATTGTTACAGAAGCCAATCAACCTCAAGACTCAACCAAAGAATAGTTGTTAAGCATTACCCTCAAGACTCAACCAAAGAATAGTTAGTTGTTAAGCAATTTTGATGCCATAAGTGTCTTAACTAATTTTTTTTTAATGCAGTGAAACCTTAATAACAGGACTCCTGATCCCGTGATAAAAGGTATAATTTTCAAATTCGAAGTCGACCTCAAAAACTTTATTTAATAATTCACTATGATAGTCTTATTATCAGGGTTATACTGTTCTAAGTAGCTTCTTTACAATTACCATAAAACATAATTTATGTTGTTTTAAAACAAAACCCAAGGTAACAGATAGGTTAACCTTAACATTTTACTTAGTTACCAATGAATCTTCTAAACATGCCTAAACAAAGAATGAAAAAATTTAAGGATATGTCCAAAGGCATTTGTTCAATCAAGTAAAACAAGAAGAACAAAATTTTCAATATGCTATATGTAATGATGAATCACTTAACTTGGAGAGTCCTTCTACTTCACAGTCAAATAGTGTATTAAAGTTGCGAACCTGTGAGCAAATTATCTTTAGTTAATAGGCCTAATGAATTTCTTGAAGAAAGTAATTACAATAATGACATAAATCAAATAAGTTCTAGTGAGCTTGAAGACTTAGAATTTCATATTTCTAGTGGTTTGACTAGTGATGTTGATCAGTATACTGATGATGATGACCCTAATCAAATAAATGTGTTAAATGAAACTAACAATAACACTTTGGCTTCGCACAATGGCACTAGTGTTTCCGAATCTGTAATTTGTAACTTAGAATATGTGGGGAAATTAGCTAACTGGGCGACTACATTCAATATAAAAGGAAATGCTTTGAATGCATTTTTAGACATACAAAGAAATGAACCAGGATATTCAAGTTTACCGAAAGATAGCCGAACATTACTAAAGACACCGCGTGCCACTAAAATTAGACAAGTTGCACCAGGGCAGTATCATCACTTTGGGTAAAATATTGCGTTAAATTTATTTCTTCAATCACTGAATGGAGAAACCCCCAACAGTATTAACTTGAAGATTGGTATTGATGGATTACAAATTTCTAAAAGTTCTTCTAGCCAAATCTGGCCCATACTATGTATGTTCAAAAGTGACAAAAAAGATTCATATGATTCTCGTGTTTATCCTATCGGTGTGTACCATGGTAATGAAAAACCTTTTTGTTCCAATGATTTCCTTAAAGACTTCATTGAAGAAGCTGTGCCTTTAATAAATAACGGTTTTAACGCTGATTTTTCAAACACTATCATAGACATACAGATTTGTTCAATAATATGTGATGCACCTGCCAAAGCTTTTGTTTTTAAAACAAAAGGGCATTCAGGATTCTATTCTTGCACGAGGTGTACACAAAAGGGTGAATCCAGTGAGAGACGAGTTTATTTCCCTGATTTAGACGCCCCCTTACGGACCCACTGTAGCTTTATAAACCAAAACCAGAAAGAATATCATATTGGCACTACTGACGTACCAAAATGGGTTTGTAATATATCCTTTTTTGCATACATAAAAAAAGGTTGAGCCTTTTCCAACTTTAAGCCTATTGCTATATAAGGTGGAAGAATGTTAAGGAGTTTGCTGTTTTGGGTCATTCCATGGTAAATAATGTCACTGTGACACAGGTTTTATTTAAATTCTGATAATAGAATTCCTGTTCTATTCGTTTTCTCTCCGTCCCCAATTTTTGTAACTATACAAGTGTTTAGTAAATAATGTATTATGTATTTTATAAGTAATGGAGTGTATGTAATTTTTTACAAGTGTTTCATAAGTAAATAAGTATTATGTTTTTTACTAGCAATGAATTATATGTAGGCCTACTTTTTATGAAAGAATAAATTTGAGTGATTCTATATGTAAAGCTTTATTTAATAATACATTGGCTTTTGTAACTAAGTGCTTAGTAAATGATGTATTATGTATTTTACAAGTAATGGTGTGTATGTAATTTTTTATGAGTGTTTTATAATAAAGAAGTATTATGTTTTTTACTAGCAATAATTGTAGGCCTACTTTTTATGAAAGATTAAATTTGAGTGATTAAGTGATTAATCTACGTAATGTAAAGGTTTATTTAATATTACATTGGCTTTTGTAACATGTTTTTTACTGGCAATGAATTATATGTACTTTATATGAAAAAATATATTTGAGTGATTCTATATCTAAAGCTTTATTTCAATTGACCTTTTAATTGTACTGTATAATATCTATTTACAATTTGTCCCAACTAAATTGCTATTTTTAGATTAAGCGTAAGAATGTTATTTATTCTTAAGATATTTGACCCACTCAAGCGTATACCTAATCAGCTTGTGTTAAATTTTTTTGTTTAGCCAGCATAGTGTGTTATATATTTCATTCTAGGTCTTTTGTAAGTGGAAAATACCCTTATTTTAACGAAATAAAAGTGTTTTCCCTCAAATTGTCACATTTATATACATTTTATGAAAATCTGGTCCTAAATACGGAATTTATAGACATTTTCTAAACGTTTAGGCCTAAACATCTATTAGATATCAATATTTATATGTTCATAGAACATCTGGCCTGAACATTTCTTAAATATCGAAATTAGTCAATTGAATGTTAATAAGAGGTTTAATAGATATCTATTTCCTTTCAAACTATCAAATTTATAGATATTTTATAAACGTTTAATCCTAAACATCCAGCAGATATCGATATTTATATGTTTATAGAACATCTGGCCTGAACATTTCTTAGATATCTGATTTTCGGAAATCTGAATGTAAATAAGAGGTTTATAAGATATCAAAGGTTTATATTACGATATCTATACGATATATTGACTAACAAATTTAGATGTTTAACAGATATCTTATGAATATGTCTGTGCTATCTGGGTTAATGTAGTTTTACCACTAACTTCACCAATACTCCAAGTTACATAATTATGATGAATATCATTTTGATAAGCTATGGCGGTATAAGAGTTTTATTTGTGGTCTAAATAATGATAGTAACGAGAGAGTATTAAATATTAAGGGTGAAACATCAATTAGATTTAATTAATTTAAATCTCAAGGGTTTGATGAGATTGAGAAACGGGTTAATGGAGTTGATTGATACACAAACAGGGCTACCAGTTGTTGAGGTTGCTAAGCGTAATGAGAAAGTACGTCAAATCAATTAAAAAGTACCGGGGTCCAGGGTTTGAATGATTGGAATGTCACCAAAGTACAGGATGAAAGAACCAGCCCAGATTATGGTCAAAATAATGATAGCATTTTGTTAGGAGATCCTGATATAAAAAATAAGTAACTCAATCAGAGTAATTACAATAAAGGAAATATCAAGTCTGTAATTGAGACATGCCCTGAAATAAATCATAGATTAAAGGAGTGGACATCCCAGTTCCAGAAGGATTCCGGAAAAACTGTCAAATGTACGAGCTGTAGTATCGAAAAAAGACATTCATGATTGGTTTACTGAGGTTAGTTATAACCTTAAAAATAACCTAGCAGAGAAAGTCTTAGAAGATCCTTCCCGTATTTTTAATAATGATGATACCACATTTTCTGCTTTATCCTAAGGGGGGACAAGTCCTAGGTATTATATCATCCAACCTAAAATATTTCATGGACACTTTTGGAATGGACCTTATAGGCCTATCACATATTGTGCAACAGACAAATCTCTATTTTACTGAAGTCGTATCTAAACTTCCTAGTGTGTCACAAAATGAGCTGAATAATTGGAGACCTACCGACGAAAATGAAATGCTATGCTTTTTGGCATTGTGTGTGCTTATGTCCCATGTAAGGAAAAATGAAATGAGGGACTATTGGTACACCGATAGTTTGATCGAGACAGAAATATTTAGAGAAATAATGAGTAGGAATAGGTTCCAGGCTCTTTTGAGAATGCTAAACTTCAAAAATTCAGTGGTTACCAACTCTAGATCACTCGGTAGGCTTCAAAAAATAAATCCAGTCCTAATCACTGTAAACAAAAAAAAAAAAAATCAGACAAATATACACCCTCTGAGAAATTAGTCATTGATGAAACCCTTTTTCTTTATAAGGGGAAACTTTCATTCCGTCAGTATATACCATCCAAATCCAAAAGAGATAGGCTCGGAGTAAAATTATTTGTTCCGACCAAGTGTGTGACTGGAATGGTAATTTACATTTTGCCATATGTTGGGCCCGAAACCAAATGGGAATTTCCAAACATTTTAGGCGTAGGAATGACTAGAAAAGTTGTCCTAACACTCCTTGAGCCGTACTTTAGATTGGGGCACAAAGTATACCTTGACAATTAATCTCTATTGTTATGGAGCTTTACAAACATGATATAAATATGCGCGGGTCGGTTTTACCTGATAAGCAGGGTTTTACCAAAATGCTACCACAGGTTGAAGTTGGTCAGGTAGATGCTCATCATACTGATGTTATGATCTATGGAGGCAAGATAAGCGTGAGGTGAGAATATTAACAACCATGCACACCAGTACATTGATGGACAAAGGGAATACAGACTGGGCAAAATGGTAGATAAAATTAAAATCAAAAAGTGTTATGGACTATAACCCAAATATGGGAGCCATAGATATAGGGGATATGGCATTATCTTTCAACCTTACTGCCAGAAAATCAATCAAGTGGTATAAAAAATTATTTTTTAACTTCCTTGATATATCTATAAGAAATGCTCATAACATGAAGAAACTAAAAACAGGCTCTAAATCAAATCTTTCGGACTTCCGCAAAGAGCTTGTTCGATAAATACTGGAGATTCACTGCCCTACTAGACTTACACCACAAGGAGGTTGCCCTCCCCTGGTGAAACTCCTCTTCGCCTTAGACAGAGGCATTTTCCTGAACTAATCCCACCGACCACTAAGAATCAACGGCCAAGAAGGAAATGCCATGTGCTTAAACGTACTACAAGAGGAGATCCCGAGCCGCAAGACACCTATTTCATGTCTGCATGAAAGTAGCATGACCTAGCTTACTCGGGATTCAAGAGGTTTGAAAATGTCAACTGGAATAAAAATTGCAATGGTGAACTACTTCATCCAGTGTGTGAAGTAGCCTCTTTTTACTTTCTCCCCCTATACCATAGTATATGGAGAAAGTATTGTTTTCGTCAAAATTTTCGAGTTTGAGTTTTGAGTGGATAGATTCGTTTTGGGTCCCCCTGGACCCAAAAAAGTGGTTTTCGAAGTGATGTCTGTGTGTGTGTGTGTGTGTGTGTGTGTGTGTGTGTGTGTGTGTGTGTGTGTGTGTGTGTGTGTGGATGTGTACAGAGCTAGAGACCACACCTGTAGTCCGATTTCGATGAAATTTGGTATGTAGGTTCTAATCCATGGTATCTCCAGGCGTTTTTTTCATTTTTTTGAAATTTTTATTTTTAATGGGAATTTTCCCATAAAAACCCATAAAAAACCGGAAAAATCGGATTTTCTCGAAAATGGCCCGAACGATTTTGATAAAAATTTAGTATGTTGTAGCCCTTTAAATTCTGAATAAAATGGTACAAATCCCATATCTGTAAAAATTACGGTTCAAAAGTTATAGTCAAATATGTTATTTTCCCATAAAAACCCCATAAATTAACGAAAAATAGGATTTTAGAAAAAAATCCGGTTTTGATTTAACATAGTATGTTATAGTCCTTATAGTTTTATAGTTTTTTTTATTTTTTAGAAATTTTTATTTTTAATGGGGATTTTCCCATAAAACCCCATAAAATATCGGAAACATATGATTTTCCCAAAAATGGCCCGAACGATTTTGATAAACATTTAGTATGTTATAGTCCTTTATATTCTGAACAAAATGGTACAAATCCCATTTCTGTAAAAATTACGGTTATTGTAAATTATGTCATTTTCCCATAAAACCCCCATAAAATAACAGAAAAATCGGATTTTCCCAAAAATGGCCCGAACGATTTTGATAAAAATTTAGCATGTTATAGTCCTTTAAATTCTTAACAAAATTGTACAAATCCCATTTGCGTATATTTACTCTCACCACATACATATGATAAAGGTTTTTGACAAACTTATGGGAGAAAGTATGTGTCAGAATGCTGATACCGTTTATTTACCTTTGAGCTATGCATCATCCTACTAATATTATAAATGAGAAAGTTTGGATGTTTGTGACAAGTGAACGCGAAAAATACTGGTCGGATTGGGCTGAAATTTGGCATGATGATAGCTCACATTCCCTATTAACATATAGGCATATTCTTATTTCAAAGATCCTTTCGGGCTCCGCCCCAGTGGCTCTGGAGTTTCCCATGTTAACCTTATGAGAAATGGAATTATTGAATCTTAACAGCTGTTTCAATTAAACAAGTTGATTCTGTTCTCTGATGTTCAATAGCATTAATTAAAGTTACAAGGATTACCAACAGGGTGCAGCACTATTATTTCTTTTACATTTATGACAACAGCTAATTTGCAACCAAAAGGTGAGTGAGCGTAGCGAACGAACTTCAACCTAGAGGCGAGTTAGCGTAGCGAACGAGCTAACCTGAAGGCAAGTGAGCGCAGCGAACGAGCTCCAACCTAAAGGTGAGTGAGCGTAGCGAACAAACTTCAACCAGAACGTGATTGAGCATGCGAACGAGATAATCTTGATAATTAAGAAGTTAAACGGGGCAAAGCCCGCGGGTTACAGCTAGTTGATCTATAAAGCAGTTTTATTAGTTTAATCATTACATATAAAATATAGACTTACAAGTTGTATATCCGGGTTACATATAATTACTAAGCATTTGTTTTGGATTGAAACTGTCAGATATTGTATTTTCGAAGGTTTATGTGTATTCCTATAATAGTTTTGCCTGAATATCTGAATAAAAATGCACACTTAATATGCAAACCAACTGATGTTAAATAATAATAATAAATAATACTTATTAAACTGCTTTATACTTATTAAACTGCTGGTCTGGTTATAAGAAGGATTCATTAGATTCAACTGGTTACAAGATCCCCGTCCGTAGAACGGCTACAAAGTTAGTCATTATATTAAATTCAATAAAAGACAATTCAGAAATGCAATATTGTGGGTAAAAAGCGATCGAATAGTTTTTTGACACTAAGAAAGTTTGTTTTCAAAATTTATATTTTAATTTAGAATTAAAATGTCTCAAAAAGTGCACTTTTAAAGTACTAAAAAAAAATGTATTGTTGGTTGGGTTGTTACTAATAATTTTTACAAAAGCTATGATGGGACAGCAATGCATTCATACTTAGAACATTCATTGAAAAACGTGTTTTACTCGTGAATGAAATACGTCCAGTTAGTTCATAGAATTGTACTGTTTTAAAATCCATGATTTTGTCATTAAAAAAGTTATTTCTTTAATTAAATTTAAATGATAGTGAGTTCAGTATAGTTGGTGAATTTTCAGAAAATCTTTGCTTTTTTATTCAAGATAAGGATCAAGAGTATCAGTGGGCGAGCGATCATCCATCCATACGTAGTACATTTTAAAGAAGAAAATGAACTAAAACACACAAGCTACGTAATTATTACCTTGATCACACAACTGCGGCTGTGTATTACATTCAAAATAAATTAATTCAGTTTGTAAACAGGACCTCGCAATTTTTTCAGACGGTCGTGCAGCGCAATACAAAAACAAAAAGAACATTTATAATCCATACATAAGGAAGATTTTGTTGGAGCTAAATGAAATTTCATGTTAAGGGGCCTTGCGATGGGGTTGAGGGCATCCTCAAAAGGTTAGCTACTAAAGTGGTTGGAGACCCTTTGACAACCAAAAACGGTCTTTTTGACTGGGCAGTTGAAAATATCAAGTATGTAAACTCTGAATTCTCCACCCAAGAAGACCATATTGAAACGGGAGTATTCTTGGATAAACGCTTTAGTTATGTATGGACGATCAAAAGGTACACACACACCTCATGCTTTCATTCCCCTGTCAACAAGCTTATAAATAATGGATAAACCATTATCGAAATCATCTGAATCAAGTATTGAGATATTGAAAAGGAAAGGACACTAAAGCAGTTCTTAAGGGAACTTTATAGTTTGTTAAAAAATCCCCATCTAGACGTTCTATTTACAACCAAGTAACTGGTTCATAGGCATTTCCTAAAAAGTTTTGTGCTATCCACTGAATCGATAACTCCTCGGTAATCAAGAGTAGTTGAAAATGTAGAGAAAAATTACCCTGACTCCCAAATATATATTCGGGTTAAATATACACTGAAAGACAGCACACCAGAAGCTAAGCTTCACTTCTCTTGCATAATTTCTGAATAACTAAAGGATTTCATGGGTTTATTAAAAAAAAAAACACCTCTACTTCCATTTTTATATAAAGAGATTTTAATTATGATGAAAAATATAGCGACCCGGTTTGTCAGGCGGAGTGTCATAGAAAAAATTACAAGTGCCTCTTAATTGAAGGATTTCGATAGTTATTGTAATGAGAATGTTTGGTGTCATGATTGTTTATTGTTTAATTTATGTTCTTAGTATAGTAGCATATTGTAGGTAAATAGTTTATCATAGTGAAATGTCAGATTTAAATTCTAACGTTCTCCCTGATAGGCTTACTTGTCGGCTTTTCATTATTTTTGGTAACAGAGTTAAAACCATCTACCTTCTGAAAAAGGACGGACCCTTCCTTACCTGTTTTAGAAAGTTGTAACCCCAATCTAGGGTGAGGGAGGTGCCTTTTGTCAGTGCATCGACGAGCATCACTTTGTTAACTTCGCAAAGTTTCGTTTAGGACGCGAGAGGCAGTTCCCTCCACTTATCTCACTTTTAGTCTTAATTTACATTTAGTTACAACCGCGTTAGTTTCGTTCTAGCAATTTTATTCATCACAGCGCCAATTAACCGTTTCTATACCAATAAAATCATAGTTCATTTCAAAGTGTTAGTTTGTTATTACTTCCAAAACATTGGCGCACATCACGCGCCGCTACAGAGAACCTGAAAAGTTTTGAAAAGGTCGAAATAGGCTTTGGAGCAATGGCAGCTTTGAAAAATGTTAAGGAAATTGATGCTCTAAGATTTAAAAAATGATTGTAAAAAGTTTTTGATTAAATGATTTGCTAAGATTGATGATAAAAGCCCACTGAAAAGAAGAGTGGTGTTAGGTGCATCCTGTCTGGACCCAACAGTAATGACAAATAAAGTCCTTAGAGAAAGTAGGGCCAAATAGCAATAGAAAAATGTGGCGGTGATTCAGATAACACCCACTGAGGGTGACCGAACTCTGCGAGCATACAATACTTTTAGTGGAAACGAAGGAAAAATCCTAAAATATATACATATATAAAAGTTTTAACGAATGGTGTTTTGGGCCTCTGGGGAGATCAAAATAAAAAAGTATATCGGTCCCGAGCCTAGGTTTTACCGTGCCACCACGGTAAAAGCTATTTCCTATAGAAAAATTCGCTAAAACCGAGAATACTACCACAATAATAATGAACCTGAAATATACCTACCACATTTAATAGGCCCTGGTAAAATTTACCGGATCAAAAAGACCTAAGCCCTTCTGATGCATACAAGTAGTTATATGATGAAAGTCGATTTCTCATCACAGCCAATCACCTCAAGTATGCGGGATGCATTGTTATCATCTACAGCTGACACAAAGGCTAGCACACAACCCAAAAAAGATAGGGGATTCTTTAAGGCATAAACACATATGCACAAAGAAAGATGTCGATTTGTCCTCCGAAGAGCAACAGAATGAAACGTAAAAACAATCAGAAGTGAATTTTCAATCCGACGAACAATATTGTGAAGTGATATTTTCCGCATGCACACGATGTTTCATATTACTATGCGAGGAACATTTTTTACACGATAAGAATAGTGAATATGTTTGTATCAACCAATTTAGTTTTGTTTTATATAATTTCTTTGATTTAAAATTGTTTATATTATTTATTATTTTTTTTATTTTTTTTTTGTAGACTGGAAAGTCGGAGTTACTAGAACACTAAACTACCTGAAATTTAAAATTGATAGTTCCTTAGAGAAGCTCGACGAAGTGGTTTAAATTGTTCAAAACCTTCCTCAATCAAAGGACAAAACATCAGATGTAGTGGATGATGGTTTTTCTTCTCTGCTGACACACTTGAACTCCATTCCCAATCCATAATTTTAATGAATTCATTAAAATTAAAGATGAACTCCGCAGCAAAGACGTATTTGATAAGCTGGCAATTTATTTCACAAAAGTTGTAGGCTAGCTTACCAATTTTCAAGGTAGAAAACATGTTGGGTATTGATTTTGTTGTCTAATTCATCATGTACAGCTTTATGGATAATGAAAAACAAATTATTATGTTATTTATAAGGGTTACCGCACTGTACTTTAATAAATGAATACCTACATTCAAGTTCAAAATAAGTTCAAAATTTACAGTAAATAATCCTGGACCAACGTGTGAAGTATCAGAAAACCCCTTGCACTAATTCTTTCTCTTTTTCACTGGGGCCATCCAAGTTGTTAAAGGTTTAAAAATTTAAAAAAATGCAGTGTACAAATCTGTATCTGTAGAGGGATTGCGTATGAGGCCTACAGGGCTAAAGTGTTGAACAAAAAAAGTGCCCCCGTTACCCCTCCGTCTAAAAGGCCACCTCCCCTGCGTGAATACCTTCGACCTAATAGGCATGAACTGTATGAAGCGATCTCTTCTATGGTGCAGGATGAAGGTGACCTCGAAGACCTTTATGACTAATCATCGGGCAGTGGTGAGGAGTACGAGCGAGACTCGGAGGACCTCGATACGACTGACAGGGAAGACATTTCAGGCCTGTTCGGGGTAGCTCCACTCCCAGAGTCACCTTCCCCCCATTTGACCCTAGGCCTACCCACGAAGAGCCTCGGCCCCCTAGGCCTAATAAAAGGCCGTCTCAACCACTTAACCTCACAGATGATACGGCTCTTTGTGAAATAGGCACAGGCCCGCCACCCAAAGTCCCCAGGGCAGCCGCCCCTCAACTTGAAGGCCCTCAACCAGCACCTGATCCAGCTCCGCAGGGAGGACTGCCGCGGCAAGAGCTGCCGACAGAAGCGCCGTGGGTGAGGGTCTATCCGCCTGAGCCGGCAGTGGACGTAAGTTCAAAATTTACAGTAAATAATCGTGGACCAACTCGTGAAGTATCAAAAAACCCCTTGCACTACTTCTTTCTCTTTATCACTGGGGCCATCCAAGTTGTTAAAGGTTTTAAATATAAAAAAAATGCAGTGTAAAAATCTGTATCTTAAAAAGTCAATTTAGAATTCAGAAGTTTAAGAAATACTGCATTTCTTCAAGTTCAATTAATAGTTTGAAATTGTTCAATTAATCATGAAACTATGAAAAGTTTGAATTATTTTAAGTAGATACTCTGATTCATTACACCATTTTGTTTTAGGTAAAAAATACATCTTCCATTTGAGGAGTGAATACCAAAGAAACGACCAAATGAATCCTCTGCTTTTTGTTGAGTGATGGACTGGCCATGCCCTTTAGCTACCACGGGTTCAAAAGAAAACGTGTTTTCTCAGATCTAAAGGTCAAGGAAGTAGTTTTTAGTAACTACAGAAGTTTGTCTAACTGCTCTCGTAATGTTTTCTTGACCTAATTTACATTGTCAGCTAAATTGGAATTTATTGAAAATTAAATGATAAAATCTGAAAATTAAAAGCTTTTTCATGGTAGCATATGTAATCCACTTGCTAGGGGGGTTCCCGTGTGCATTTTATGTATAGAAAAACACCCTAAGGGATCATGTAGGTACTATGTGGGTTATCATTTTTCACGTGGGTGCCAGCTTGGCAGAGTGGGCATAACCTCAGAATCCGCCATTTTAAAAATGGCGGTGGCATTTATTACATGAAACTCATCGGGAGCTTATATCTCGAAAACGGTAATATATAGCGAGTTACTTTTATTACAATGAATATTGCTTACACAATAAGGAATAACTTTTGTACTAACAAAAATGTCCTTAATATAACTATTTAGGAGTAGTTGAGCAATTTATGTTAATTGAACCTGTACATTTTTACTGTGACAAAAAAATTCTAATGTCTTTGAAAAAACTGTTCTTTTTAATTTGGCACATAGCACTTATTGTTCTTTACTTCTAAGGTCTAAATACCCCCAACCCAGCAAACCTGCAGAATCAGCAAACATTTACCTGGCTGCATTTCCACTAAAATATTAAAATTGACAGATTGATTTCTTATTTAAATGACATTGATTTGTAATGAGTACTTAAGTTTGCTGCTTCAGGGAAGGTATTGAGGTGTTTTTTTATATATATTTTTATTGAAATGTTGATAGCTAAGTATGAATGAAACAACATTTTCAATTTTAATTATAATATATCCATAAACAAGCAAACTAAAACAGTTTATTTATTCTCCATAAGAATAACATGGGAATTTTAAATTTAATTTTTTTTTAAATTTATCTCCGTAACTTTTGGGCATACAACAACGCTTCAATATACAAAATAATTTCTTTTTTGAGCTCTACAAAATGGTTTGGTTTATTATAAAATTTCGTGTTTTAGGGTCGAAAATCGGAAAAATCTATTTTTATCCCATAAAACTCCCCATAAACCCCGTTGCCATAGTCCGATCGTGCTGGTTTAATAGTCCGAATTTGTTTGAAAACGTAGGTTTACACGTTTGTGATAAATTTCATTAAAATTGGATCATTTTTGCTCGAGTTATCAAATTAAGTTGTAGTTCTGTCATCAGATACAAAAATGTCGTAGTGTTGGCTTTACACTTTATGAATGGATTCTCTTCGGAAGGTTTGCAGGAATTGTGGATGCGACTTGGTTCAGCCAGAATATGTACTAGTTCAAATTATAGCAAACAGGCTTGGAAGTAACCTTTGCTCAGTTCTCCATGCACTCCATATTTTAACGGGCTGTGATTTTGCCAGCAAATTTGGAACAAAGCGTGCTACCCTAAAATGTAATCCAAGTACCTTGCTAATAGACTTTGGAAAAGATGGGGAGGAAGAGATAGAATAAAGTTTGAAAAACACAGAGAAGTATCTAGTTCACATTTAAAAAAAATGGATACTCAGTGTAAAACTATGTATGATCTAACCATGAATGGTCTAAGATACTGGATGTACACTGTCACTGTACAACGAATACTCTTAAAGAACTGCATCCGTTGCTCGTGAAGAAATTATGTCTAGTAGAGCTACAGAACTAGACAGCATATCTTATGTAGCCTACGTGCTTTTTATTGTACATACATCCAAATCCATTGCTTGGAAGAACACGTTTTTCAAATCGATCCTTGAGTTTTGGATACAGTGATGGTGGTTACTCTTTGTTGGTTTTTGGTCAAAATTTTATTTCCAGCTTTGCCCAAGTGATTTATTAGAAGGCTGCAACTGCAAAACCTGTCCCGATCAAAGCTGCACATGTGTACGAAACTAGCTGGAATACCGTGTTGCCCTTTTTTAAATGTAGAAGTGTTCCTGTAGTTGACTGCCGCAATGCACACAAGTATGTTGTGAACAGTTTCATTTTTCTGATGACTATAAAAGGGAACAGATCTAATTCATCTTAACCCAAAAGGCTTATAATTTAGATCCAATAACTGCGCTCAAATTGTATGATCCACGAAACTAGTTCATCAGTCCGAAACAGCCTACCACCAAGGACAATGTCAAGGTACTGGTTGTGTTAACGAGACGTCAATGCTTGGCCGATGCACCAACATAGCCTCCGGTCCCGTTCCCGCTTCATCGCCGTTTTAATAATACATGTTAAGAATTATAATAATAATTTCTGTTACATTCGTAGATTTATTATTATTTGTAATAATAAAAATTCATTGTATAGAAAGGTCTATATTTATTTTATATTTAAATGCGTCATGTAATAACAAAAAATTAATTTTAAAATATTTTATACTATTTTAATAACTTATACATCTGTCAGAAGCTTCTCGAATACTTTTTGCAGGCTTTTTACCTTAAATGCGAAGAAAAATTAGTGTTCTGTGCCAAATTACAAAATAACAGCTTTTTTATAATTTTTAGATTTTTTTTGCAACAGAGATAAAATTTATAGGTTAAATATGTCAATTTTAATATTTTAGTAGAAATGCAGCCAGGTAAATGTTTGCTTAGTCTGCAGGTTTGCTTCGGTAGGGGTATTTTGACCTTAAATGTAAAGAGCAATAAGTGTTATGTGCAAAATTAAAAAGAACATTTTTTTTTAGATATTAGCATTTTTTTTCCAAACATAGTAAAAAGTTTTAGGTTAAATAAGCATAAATTGCTCAATTACTCCTAAATAGTTATATTAAGGGCATTTTTGTAAATACAAAAGTTGTTCCTTATTGTGTAAGCAACATTTATTGTAATAAAAGTAACTCGCTATATATTACAGTTTTCGAGATATAAGCTCCCGATAAGTTTCATGTAATAAATGCCACCGTCATTTTTAAAATGGCGGATTCTGAGGTTATGCCCACTCTGCCAAGCTGGCACCCACGTGAAAAATGATAACCCACACAGTACCTACATGATCCGTTAGGGTGCTTTCCTATACATAAAATGCACACGGGAACCCCCCTATCAAGTGGATTTGTACTCACGTTTTGTGCTTCCGAGGTTATATTGCCAAATAAAATGGTGGACCATAGTGTTAATGAATTAATTTTTGTTGATACCTATTTTTTGTCATCTGCAGTAATTAATTGTACTGCAAGGGAATCGTGTTCATTTGATAAATCTAAAATTAAACATAAACGAGATGCTAGCCCGTCCTACGTACGGGAATTGAGTAGTCAGTTAAAAACTGTGTACAATTCAGAACAGCTAGTTTACACGTACAAAGACAAAAATATTTTCTTGAAGTTTTAATATGAAAAATCATTTTGTAAACAAATGTTGAGTGGCCAATTATGTTTTATTCCAGCATAGGCCTATACGAATATGAATTTCAAATCCGATAACTTTACAATAAAACAACAATTGTGACGATGTGAAAAGCGTTGAAGTGAGATTTGCGGCCGATTCACACACTGATTATAAGTAGCCTACAGTAGAGAGTAATAGCTTTGACTCTTGATATAATAATGCCGTATCCAATAGTCAATGGCAATAGTCAATTGAGAAGTGTATAGACCTAGTCAACAATACCACCTGCCATCGCATACCTGCCTCTTCCATAATTATTATCACCACAATACTATTACTCATACTATACACAATTTCCAGTAGGTCTGAATAGAAACTACCTAAAATAAAACGACATTATCCAATAAAATTCACAGTAGGCCTACACTGGTATCCTAACATCATTAAACGTATCAATTTCACTGAATCAATTGCTAAAGAGTAAACATAGAAAAGTAAAAACAATAACATATCGTTTGTTTTGAGACAGCTGTTTGGTTAAACATTCATTTGAATAAAGAACTGGTCACATGTTGAAGGAATTTGAAAAGTAAACACGCTAGTAAAGCTAGTGACGTAATTATCTATGTTAATAATCCATACCGTTATCAGTTCTAATATACAGGGTGATTTGTACTTAGTGTGACAAAATTTTTTTGGTGTAAGTATAAAGTAAATGAAGTGTGATATTGCATATCAAATGTTCCAAGTCTAAAAATTAGCTTCTCAAAAAATTATTTTACGTTTTTCAAAAATAACCATGTTTTTACACTTAATACAGCGATTTCTCAATTACCTGCATATGGATTTGAGTAGATAATGTAATTTTCGTGTTCTACATTAAATTTTGAACAAGAATAATAGAAAATGACGGAGGATCAGTTGTAAAAACTCCATTGTAAATAGATTCAAAGATAAAAATTAAGATGTTTGATAAAAATTTTAAAAACAATGGTCTATTGCATTTTTCACACCCTGTATACAAGAAAGTGTCGGAATATGTTAAAAACTGCGCCATTTTATAAGCTTTCCAACGATATGCTACACTATTGAGGTTTATGTCTGCTTATGTACGCTTTAGTGGTTTGAAGACTACAAAGCATGGTGTATTCAACATTAAAACATAGAAAGTCGGCATGTATTAAGCAAAAGTTGTATTTTTTATTCAGCTTGAACAGTAAAAACAGTAAAAAGTTCCCTGTTTTCTGGTATTCAAACCACTAAAACAAACAAACAACTATCTAAACCTCAATAGTGTAGCATATGGTTGGAAAGCTTATAAAATGGCGCAGTTTTTAACATATTCCGACACTTTCTTGTATACAGGGTGTGAAAATGCAATAGACTATTGTTATTAAAATTTTTATCAAATATCTTAATGTTTATCTTTGAACCTATTTACAATGGAGTTTTTACAACTAATCCTCCGTCATTTTCCATTATTCTTGTTCAAAATTTAATGTAGAACACGAAAATGACATTATCTACTCAAATCCATATACAGGTAATTGAGAAATCGCTGTATTAAGTTTAAAAGCATGGTTATTTTTGAAAAACATAAAATAATTTTTTGGGACGCTAATTTTGGGACTTGGAACATTTGATATGCATCATCACACTTCATTTACTTTGTACTTACATCAAAAAAATTTTGTCACACTGAGTACAAATCACCCTGTATGTAATAATTACCCACCTATTGAATCAACCTACATCGTAATTTCCCATATTAATTTCTTAAAAGTATAAGATATTTATAGTTGAAATGAAAGTGATATTTTGTCTACATCAGCGGCCCCACACGTAACCATAACTAACACACGCCAAACAATCTTTTTTTCATAAAAGGATGGTTTGTCTAATTGCAGTATCAATGATGCCGCTGTGTTCATAAGTCATCTCTCAGTTTATCTTTAGATAAAACCCGGCTGCTGTTGTGGTGGTAATTTAAAATCGTGATTCCTGATTATATTATTCTTGATCTCCTTTTCTATGACACAAATATTTGCTTAATCCAAACAAATTGTAAGCAGACTAACATTAATTGTAAACAAAAAGATACCAAGACGAATTTTAATACATGTAAGTATTGTTGTTTTCCAACTCTTTCCTAAAAAAGTTGAGCAGTAAAATGGTTTGCATATCCTTTTCTTTTAAGACTCGTGTACAGAGCCTTGATTTGTATACAACAATGGAGGTTGATGACCCCTCTTGTAGGCCTATCACCCCTCCTCGTCGAGATCCGGAATTTCCAGCCCCGCCCCCAGTGATCCAGTCCAATCCCCCACCTACTAAACCACAACCCCCCCCCCAGTGTTTCATGCTAATGATGGCCAGGTCGCAGGGCCAAGTAGAGGGATTGCGTATGAGGCCTAGAGGGCTAAAGTGTTGAACAAAAAAAGTGCCCCCGTTACCACTCCGTCTGAGAGGCCACCTCCCCTGCGTGAAAACCTTCGACCTAATAGGCATGAACTGTATGAAGCGATCTCTTCTATGGTGCAGGATGAAAGTGACCTCGAAGACCTTTATGACTATTCATCGGGCAGTGGTGAGGAGTACGAGCCAGACTCGGAGGACCTCGATACGACTGACAGGGAAGACATTTCAGGCCTGTTCGGGGTAGCTCCACTCCCAGAGTCACCTCCCCCCCATTTGACCCTAGGCCTACCCACGAAGTGCCTAGGCCTAATAAAAGGTCTCAACCGCTTCACCTCACAGATGAGACGGCTCTTTGTGAAATAGGCACAGGCCCGCCACCCAAAGTCCCCAGGGCAGCCGCCCCTCAACTTGAAGGCCCTCAACCAGCACCTGATCCAGCTCCGCAGGGAGGACTGCCGCGGCAAGAGCTGCCGACAGAAGCGCCGTGGGTGAGGGTCTATCCGCCTGAGCCGGCAGTGGACGTAAGTTCAAAATTTACAGTAAATAATCGTGGACCAACTCGTGAAGTATCAAAAAACCCCTTGCACTACTTCTTTCTCTTTTTCACTGGGGCCATCCAAGTTGTTAAAGGTTTTAAATATAAAAAAAATGCAGTGTAAAAATCTGTATCTTAAAAAGTCAATTTAGAATTCTGAAGTTTAAGAAATACTGCATTTCTTCATGTTCAATTAATAGTTTGAAATTGTTCAATTAATCATGAAACTATGAAAAGTTTGAATTATTTTAAGTAGATACTCTGATTCATGATAACATTTTGTTTTAGGTAAAAAATACATCTTCCATTTGAGGAGTGAATACCAAAGAAACGACCAAATGAATCCTCTGCTTTTTTGTTGAGTGATGGACTGGCCATGCCCTTTAGCTACCACGGGTTCAAAAGAAAACGTGTTTTCTCAGATCTAAAGGTCAAGGAAGTAGTTTTTAGTAACTACAGAAGTTTGTCTAACTGCTCTCGTAATGTTTTCTTGACCTAATTTACATTGTCAGCTTAATTGGAATTTATTGAAAATTAAATGATAAAATCTGTAAATTAAAAGCTTTTTCATGGTAGCATATGGTACTCACGTTTTGTGCTTCCGAGGTTATATTGCCAAATAAAATGGTGGACCATAGTGTTAATAAATTAATTTTTGTTGATACCTATTTTTTGTCATCTGCAGTAATTAATTGTACTGCAAGGGAATCGTGTTCATTTGATAAATCTAAAATTAAACATAAACGAGATGCTAGCCCGTCCTACGTACGGGAATTGAGTAGTCAGTTAAAAACTGTGTACAATTCAGAACAGCTAGTTTACACGTACAAAGACAAAAATATTTTCTTGCAGTTTTAATGTGAAAAATCATTTCGTAAACAAATGTTGAGTGGCCAATTATGTTTTATTCCAGCATAGGCCTACACGATATGAATTTTAAATCCGATAACTTTACAATAAAACAACAATTGTGACGATGTGAAAAGCGTTGAAGTGAGATTTGCGGCCGATTCACACACTGATTATAAGTAGCCTACAGTAGAGAGTAATAGCTTTGACTATTAATATAATAATGCCGTATCCAATAGTCAATGGCAATAGTCAATTGAGAAGTGTATAGACCTAGTCAACGATACCACCTGCCATCGCATACCTGCCTCTTCCATAATTATTATCACCCCTCCTCGTCCAGATCCGGAATTTCCAGCCCCGCCCCCAGAGATCCAGTCCAATCCCCCACCTACTAAACCCCCCACCCCCAGTGTTTCCTGCTAACGATGGCCAGGTCGCAGGGCCAAGTAGAGGGATTGCGTATGAGGCCTACAGGGCTAAAGTGTTGAACAAAAAAAGTGCCCCCGTTACCCCTCCGTCTGAGAGGCCAGCTCCCCTGCGTGAAAACCTTCGACCTAATAGGCATGAACTGTATAAAGCGATCTCTTCTATGGTGCAGGATGAAGGTGACCTCGAAGACCTTTATGACTAATCATCGGGCAGTGGCGAGGAGTACGAGCCAGACTCGGAGGACCTCGATACGACTGACAGGGAAGACATTTCAGGCCTGTTCGGGGTAGCTCCACTCCCAGAGTCACCTACCCCCCCCCCCCTATTTGACCCTAGGCCTAATAAAAGGCTGTCTCAACCGCTTCACCTCACAGATGAGACGGCTCTTTGTTAAGAAGGCACAGGCCCGCCACCCAAAGTCCCCAGGGCAGCCGCCCCTCAACTTGAAGGCCCTCAACCAGCACCTGATCCAGCTCCGCAGGGAGGACTGCCGCGGCATGAGCTGCCGACAAAAGCGCCGTGGGTGAGGGTCTATCCGCCTGAGCCGGCAGTGGACGTAAGTTCAAAATGTACAGTAAATAATCCTGGACCAACTTGTGTAGTATCAGAAAACCCCTCAGAAGAGCACACTCGATAACGGGGAGCCCATAGCGAGTCTTGTTATGAATTCTTCGATTGGTTTGGATTGTAGTTCTACGAGTTTATCTAGTTTACGTTTTTGGGTTTCCTTCTTTCTTAAAATGACTTTATTTATTTGATTTTCAATGCTTGACAAGACATTGTTGGTTTGAGAAGGGTGGATTGCATTCAAAAGGTCGATGTGTGATTTCAAGAGTAGGGTATTTAGCATGTCTTTCTTTCTATAGAGAAATTTAATTTCGTTATTTATCCAGATTCTTTCTGCTAATGATTTGGCCTTTTGAGCGGAAAAACTTTTATTATTTTTTTGGTTACTTTTAACGGGAAATATTACCTACAGGAAGAGGGACTCGCTATGGGCTCCCCGTTATCGAGTGTGCTCTCCGAAATATACCTCAATATTTTTGAAAACAAAAACATCCTCTCCGACAGCAATAAATTTTCCAAGAAAATAATGTTCTATAAAAGATATGTCGATGACACATTTTTTATTTTTAATGGCAATCCAAGGCAACTACAACTTTTGAATAATTACTTGAACAATATTACTCAGAACATCAAATTCACGCTCGAAGTCGAAAATAATAATTCAATCAACTTCCTAGATCTCACAATGACCAAAAATAACAACAACATTGCCTACAAAATTTACAGAAAGCCTACAACAACAGACCATACCATCCACGCATCATCTAATCATCCACAATCCCATAAGATGGCTGCTTACAATAGTTTTGTTAACAGGCTTCTAAAAAATACCCATGACCCAAGCAGACTACAATGATGAATACACATTATTAAAGTGCATAGCCGTCAACAATGGTTATAACAGTAAAATTATCGATAATATCATCCGTAAACAAAAAAACAGAAAGCAAACAGAAAAACCCGTTCAAAACTTTATATCCATAGAATATGGTAGCAATCTACACTATACACTGAAAAACGAATTGAAGAAACATAACGTAACTTTAGCCTGCAAAACTTCGAATAAATTAGAAAGCCTCCTAAATCCACGTACTACCGAAATAACTCATTCAAACAGCCTTGAGGACACTGGAGTATATAAACTATCTTACAGTGACTGTCCTAAAATATATATAGGACTAACAGGTCGTTCGTTCAAGAAAAGGTTCAACGAACACCTTCCTAAACCTAAATTGAGAACCCAACACTCCAAGTTCGCCGAGCACCTGATTAACGAAAACCACAACGTTAATAGCTGCAATGATAGCTTGAATATTCTACACAAATGCACCAAAGGCTCCTTAATGAATGTTCTAGAAAGCTTAGAAATATACAAAGCAACAAAAAAACATCCTCATGACATTTTAAATGAAAAACTAAATTTTGGCCGTAATATAATATTTGATAGGATTGAGGACATTGATAACGGAAGCGCTCACAATCAGCTGTTTCACCCCCTCCAAGGTCAATGTCAACAGACAGGAGTCGGTTAGTTGCATCGTGTCCGTCACCGCGGTACTTATGGCCGGCCGCGCATTCATTTTTGTAAATAGTATGTGTCCGTGTTCGTGTGTTTATGTTAAATGTACTGTGTATAATGACGACAACAAGATGTCACAATGTTTTTAAGAGGCAAGAGGCTCGACAATGAAACCTTGATGTTTCGAAACTAGACGCCATAGACTTATTTTAGGATTGACGACGTAAGGTATGTAACCTATTTATATTGTCAATAATCAGTCCTGAAGGCAATGATGAATGAATACTATCTTTAAAGTGTGATATTTTTCAAGCACACTTTATTTGGTCGACAATATTTAATGACCCATTGTTACTTTTTTCGTTAATTTTTGTTACACTTATATTTTTATGTTCTTTATTTTATTTTTTTATAGCCTATATCTGTTTATTTTTTATTTTCTTTTAGGCTACCCACTTTTAGATTTATATTAATTTAAAATCACATTTAGTTGGGTTTTTAGGTCTATCCAAGGCTTTTGGTAACTATATTTTACAAGTTAGCCTTCCAAGTGTCCATAGTAAAGAGTCTGGTGAGAGAGGCCTCCAAAACTTTCTAGGTCTGGTGGTATGGTTCTTTCAATTACGGATTTATTTATTTCATTAAAGTGTGGTGAGAGAGGTCTCCAAAACTTTCTAGGTCTGGTGGTATGGTTCTTTCAATGACGGATGTATTTATTTCATTAAAGTCTGGTGAGAGAGGTCCCCACAGCTTTCTAGATCTGGTGGTATGGTTCTTTCAATGACGGATGTATGAGAGAGGTAACTTCTCAGGTGAGGGCTCGGTTATGAACTTAATATTTGTAACATTATTACTACAATTCTGATTTTCACTGATTTGAAGTCAATGCTTCAACTCTGAGAATCATTGAGACTCCTAAGGGTTTCCTTTCTAAATAATCGATCAAAATGTCTGGATGAAATATGTTGACGTTGCGTAACATTAACTTTAGATATTTTAAAGTACAAAGATATTCCCTTAGCCTATAATAAAACACTCTTTATTCTGGATCGTTGAAACACGTTCATTGAAACTGTTCATAATACTTATACCGCTTTGACCACGTGTCCTCCTTCCGAGATGCTGCAAAGCTCATCCCAATGGATGAAATGTGCAGGAGGCTGACCTGATGCCTGGTCCACAAAGTGCTCACGCTGGGAGAGCCTCAGTACCTCAGCGAGAGGCTTAAGTACAGGGGGGAGATCTGCCTGCGTGGTACTCGTTCCGACCGCAGGCTTCACTTTCCTAAAGTGAGGCTTGAGGTTGGAAGAAAGTAATTTTCTTATTTTGGCCCGCGGTTGTATAATGGCCTCCCTCAGGACATAAAGAGCTCCAAATCGTATACCTCATTCAGGGCCGCAATGCAGAAAAACAAATGTAAATTGTAAATGTTTTTTCTTTGTAGTTAGTTTGTATATTATATTTCTGTATATATTAGGTTAGTTAAGTTTTAGTTTGACTTGAGTAAGATTGAAAATCATGTATATGAAACTCACTTGTAAATAAAGACCTTTTTATTTATTTACCTGTAGGCCTAAATAGAAATAAAAAAAACTAAACAACCGATATCCAAGACAGACAATACTCGAACTAGATCGAATGAATTAACGAAGAAATTTATTGGTAAGAAGAGATACGAGAAATGGTCTGTATACAGACGAAGGAAACAAAAGAAAATAAAGAATCAAAAATAAGATGGCAAATAAAAGATAAGAAATCGTTCTTAGAAAAAATCCACTTTTCAATAGGTATTGATTATCCAGAAAACGTTTTTCACCGCACTGCTAAAGAATGTGCACACAATTATTTTGTTCAAATTCCAGCTAATCCCAAGGGTACGCCAAAAGTATGCCTATTTCATATGCCTATTATGCTATTTCAGCATCTAGCAACAACCATCTTCGAAGACTGTTTGCTAAATTAGTTGAATTCATAAACTGGGTCAATTCTTTCAACAATTACTCGACTATAAAGACCACCTTGTTGCTTAGAGCGCTCACTTGTTACAGCCCGAATGCTCCGGGCTGATTCTGAAGAAGCGTGTAAATGTTTTAGTAAACGTTAAGTGGAGCCTGGTGAAAAGCCTAGTATGGTGTTGCTGACTGGGATAACGTTAAAAAGCTCTACAACATCGATAGCGGAGTCATAAAGTGAAGAGCAACCTAACTGACGGAGAAGCACATCCGGCCAAACAGCTTCGAGAAGATAAAGTTAAGTTGGCGACGCAAGTTTTTAGCTTATCCATCAGTGCAGCCATGTCAACTGCAGTTGAAACTGGAAAGCTGCCTTTAAGCGCACTTGATACTGCGTAATTTCTTAAACGTTTCACCAACATATTTGACGTGATGAATAGCACAAGTAAGATCAATCCGAACCAATATAGATGTGCTATTTCAGCATCTAGCACAACCATCTTCGAAAGCTGCTTGCTACATTAGTTAAAGATATAAATTGGTTCAAATCTTTGACCATGTTTAAAAAGACCACCTTGTTTACACAGCTTGGAGCCAAGCACACTGGTTGCAACCCGAATGCTTAGATCGGGCCAAACACCTCTTGACTGAAAGGCTCAACCAGGACCCAATTGATAATGAGTTTTCAGTCGCTAGACAGAAGTGCAGGTATGTAAACGTATTGGCATATGTAAGGATTTGGCATTTAAAAATATCTCCAATTTGAAAACACCCGCGTCGTAGCAAACCTACTTATTCAGCGAATTTCCAATGAATAAGATATGCCTTAAAGCCGCAAACCAAGTTTCGTAGAAATGCAGTGTGTAAATTAAGTATTGAAACAAATCTGTAATTTTAAAACTGAAATAGATAGAAATATTCTGTTTGTGGTGATAATTGATAACAAAGGTTCCGCAATTTTTAAAATCAAAAATATTTTTTAACCCCCCTAACAGGGTAGGAGGTGGTAGGGGGTAACTTATTTTTTTAAATAGCAACCTCTATTTTACAACCAAATCTTCAACTCCCAGGATCCTTATCCGTTAGGGAACATAATTTCACTGGACTGAAATAGTGGAAGCCCGTTGGTGTAATCTCAAACATTCCAATTATGAGGGGAATTATAATTAAGGCTACAAAACCCCCAGCGACAGCGGGACGTCATCGTTGGTGCCTACCCCGGAAAAAAATCAAGCCTGCCTCGGAAAAAAATCAAGCCTGCCCCCGAGAAACCCCCACCGCCGATCTCATTCTGCTCCAAGACTCCGAAGGGTGAACACCAGCTGCTCCTCTTCGCTCGCTGATCAACCAACTTCAAGGACATCCAGAGTGCCGTTCCTTCTAGCAACAGCCATCGTCTGACGCCCAGCCCTGACAGCCAGGCCAGACAGCCAAACGCCTGCCCAGCCCCCCTCCATCAGCTTCAAACCGAAGGCCTGCACCAGCCAGAACAGCCGTGCGCCCGACGCAGCCCAGTCACCAGAGCAAAGCCGAGCGCCTGCCCGGCCCAGACCAGCCCGCCCGCCGTCTCGCCTGCCGACACCACCTCACTAGACGGACTTCAAAGCGGTGTGGTAATTATTCTACAAGTACCTAACCCTCACCAAACCTCCACACGGCCCTGGTTAGCGATCAACTGCCCGGCTAGCCCGGTCTCCAGCCTGCTGGTACTTGCTGCCTTGCTGCGGGAAGCAAACCTACGGCTCACCCTGTGGACTAGGTGACTTTCCCTGAGTGTTCAGGGAATGCGATGCTGAGGGGACTCCACCACTCGACAGACTACAAAGTGATCAAGCACGAGCTCGAGTCCCTTTCTGCTAACTCGTTCTTCGTCACTGGGTAGAGGACCGGAACCTGGGCGAGGCTATGGTAGCTGACTCACCTGATTGGAGACACAGAGTATCGCTGGCACCCTACAAAGTATTACGCTACTTCAAAGCTGTTTGCAGAATTATCCACAAAATTGAAAATAAACACGTATTGACACCACCCTGTATTCTCCTCAATCGAACCCCACCGAGATATGTAACCGGGTGCTGAAGATAATGATAAGACAATACATAGATTCCAATAATAGACACTGGAATAGTACTTGAAGTAATTCAGGTTGGCAATAAACACAGCCGTACACCAGTCGGCAGGATACACGCCAGCCTACCTCAATTTTGGAAAGGAGTTACGACTTCCCGAGGCCCTTCATGAAGGTATTGAAGTAGATCCAGGGGACAACCCTAGAGTACCAGACCGTCTGCAACTTCTGAGGACTATACAAGACACCGTGAAGCTAAACCTCTCCAAAGCCTATCAACGCCAAGCTAAATATTACAACCTTCGCAGTCGACCAAACACGTTCAAGGAGGGACAACATGTGTTATGCAGGAGACATGAACTTTCAGATGCTGCAAGAGGATTCGCCGCCAAATTGGCCCCACAATTTGACGGACCCTAAACGATTGTACGCCCTGAAGTAGCGAATAAATTTGAAATCCGAAAAGACAAAGGAGAAACGAAGAGAGCCAACGTCAAAGACCTCAAACCGCGCTGCTGAACTCAAACTGCTTCATGAAACCACTAGAAACCCAGTCTTAACATCGATCAAAAAAGGTGATGGCCTTCCCAAGTGTTTTCTTTGAAAGGTGGGACAGAGAGGGACAAGGGTATGATGGCGTAAAGAAGTGGGCAAAGGAAGACCCTTTAGGAAAAGACTTTGTACTTTTTCCAATTTTCATCAAACCGGAAATTGCATCCAACATATCCCACGAGGCCAGCATCACGACCAAAGTCAACCCGAACACCCAATTCGGACACTGGGCCCTTATAGTTGTCCGCCCAAAGAAAAAAAAACGCTGTGGCCTTAGACAGCCTTGGCCAAGAGCACAACCTTCGAATTGCTCAAGTAAAAGAGTTCATCGAACAAGAATCATTAAAAAGGGAACGAAAACTTCTCCCAAGGTGGAATCTATTAAACGACCTCAAGACCTGTAGACCTTAGACTTTAAGACATTAGAGTCGACCTTAAAGGAGATGAAGCTGTAAACTCCTGATGTAGGTAGTATGGAAGTCGAAGAGACAAGAGAAGATTTTATGGCACCAACCTTTAAGGAATTCCATAATCCAGCCCCTGCCGAACGGATGGAGACATTTAGTCCTGCTACAGTTAGTGGTGCCCACGGAAGCACAAAACCGATAGGATCAATGCCACCACCTAGAGTTTTTCCTCCCAAGAAACTGCAACCCCCAAAACGCAGGCGAGGGCATACCCAGAGACAACGGGTAATCCTTACAGATAGCTCTTTTGTACGTATAAATAAAAGAAAGCTGGAAAATATTCCCCACTATTACCCGGATGTGGATATCATGAGCTTGACAAAACGAAATAAAACGTCAGAGGACCAGTAAAGAAAAAAGAACAACTCGAAGGCATGTTAGTTTTAAGGAAGATATATTTGTAATTTTTCTGTGATTTGTAATATTCTAGTCGAGAAAGAGCTTTTTATTTAGTTATATTTTGTTATGATTTTTTTTTCAAGTTAAAGAGAATTTTGTTTTAGAAATTTTGAAACGATATTATCAAGTCAAGTATTAAATTGGTAACCAAATGTTCCTTCTTATATTTGAATTTATTTTTTAAGGTTAAGTTTTGATTTACTTTTTTGGAGTATAAAAAAGGGTAAAAAAGTTTAAATAAAAAAGGGATAAAAATCAAACTAAAAGAGACTGATTTTTATATTTGTTCATTTATTCGAATGTGTTATTGTTGTTTTGTTATCAAAAGAGAAATGTAATTTTTTTCTTAAATAAAGTGTTTTATCTTCTTTTTACACATCAACTGTGTTTTTTCTTCTTTTTTCCGTTCATTTCTTTTTGCCTCCCGAAGTAGAAAGGGCCTAGAAATCAATAAAAAGAAATTGTATTGATACGTATTGATATCGTAATAAATAGAAACTGTCACAAATGTATCCTCCTTTAATTTAATAAAGTAATATTTTCAGTAAAACCAACCGTTCGCGAGATGGATTGAAAAACCAAAGGAATGGTCAAATTTTAGCTTTTTCGATAACAGGTGGAGCGCCGTGATACCTCGAGGTGGATAAATTGGATTTTATGTTATGGACCCCACACTGACAACATATAAAAAAACTAAACTACCCGTTATTTTGCGTACTACCATGCCTTATTTTACTGGACTAATACCTTAGACATCTATTTTAAAGATCACTTGCAAAAGTTCTTACAGCACGAGAGCTTCTGTACTATCTCAGAAAATCAACGCCATGATCCTTCTGCTGTTAGTGCCCATTTGAGTCCAGTGCTTTGTACCATGAAAGGCATGATTCCAAACTTGAAAAACGTTTATTTACTTCATTAATTAAAAAAAAGTCAAAGTTCATTCATTTAGTGATGGACCCTTAACTCAGTATAAAAACAATAAAATGTGTTACCTTTTTTCCTACTATCTGAGTAAGAAACTAGATATTGACGAAGTTGTGTGGCACTACTCCGTGGCCAGTCACGGCAAAGGAGCAGTAGATGGTATTAGTGCGAGCACAAAGAGATTAGCTGACAGTTTAGTCGGAAGAGGCTTTATATTGCAAATTTTAAACAATTCAAAAATGTATTGGAGGCAAATTGCAGAGCAACTAACATTTTCTTCATAACAAGTGACCAAGTTAAAATCATAGATAGAATTCTACCACAGCAAATTGAAACATTCCCTGGGCCCATGCAAGTAAACCAGGTCACCTGGGATAGATAAAAACCTCGAGTTATTCAAGCAAAGCGACTGAGTTGTATGAAATGTTCCAGCAACAGACCATGTTTGCATTACCATTTGGGGAAGGTTATTGAGGTTTTTGAAGATTGGGGCAAGTAAAGTTGTGTCTGACAAGATCTGAAGAAAATCGCATTTGATGCCATCATAAGTGCTCTAAATGTAAGAGGGTTGTGAAAAATTGTATCCTATGTGACTTTTGTGATTGTTGGTATCATTTTAAATGAGGTTGAAATGAATCAAAATTACCAAGTGATGATGATGAATGGAAGTACCTCGTGTGTATAGAAAATAGTAACGAAGAGGTAAAACTGAACGATACGCCTGTTGTAATATTGAACGATAAACAAGGACAGGGATTCACTATTGTTGATTATAACTGAACTGAAAGAAGTTAACCTCAAATTAATTGCTGAGGTTTTACAAGGAAAAACTGGGAAGAGTCCGACTTCCAACTGAGCAAGAAACTAGTAGACCAACCAATTGTAAGTACTAAATCAACTTCCTTGATTTCAAGTGATGTTAACCTAGGCCAGTACCTGAAAACGATGGTAATAGCAGAAGATGGGAGTCCTGTTGAAGAAAAAAATTGTGTTGCCATTAGTAGGACCTTTGATCATTTAAAAACTAAGTCTATGCCAAAACGAGTTGCTGTGAACTCTTATCATGGTGATAGGTCTGACCTGAAAGTGATAAAAACTCAACTTTCTGTAACAAATTAACCTAAATCCACCCACTCTGATAAAAATAGCCCTAGACCACATGAGCCAGTTCAGCCCATATCGCCTAAACAAGCTAGCCTACCTAGGCCTAAGAGGAAGTCCAAATCAATCAAAATATTAGGTGATAGTCACCATGGACTTGGATTATCTTCTCTATTGCATGCTTAAAAATTAAAATCTAAGTTCAACATCGAAGGAATTATCAAACCAGGATCTACGTTTTCTGATATTGTTACACCAAGATCTGTCGTCGATACCCCCAGCCTAACAAATGAGGACTTTGTTGTTGTGATTGGCGGATCAAATGATGTCAGCAGGAGTTGAAAATTTCTACAGAGACCCTAGAGAAAACGATTTCAAACCTGGCCCACACCAACGTTATAGATGTGGACATCCCGCATCGGCATGACCTAGCTGACTTTTCGTGTGTAAACAAGGAAGTAGAAGCAGCAAACTTAGCCTACAGTCCAATTTGTAAGTCGTACACTAATGTAATGTACGCCTAATAAAGGCCAGTTCTTGTAATCGGTATTATCACACAAAACATGGCCAACATTTCAATGTATCAGGTAAAAGGATTCTTCGAAATTGCTTAGTAAAGATCAAATATAAAAATGAGCCATCATAAAAAAACTAGGTATTTCATTTGTAGGACTAATTGTGAATCACAACAGAAGCCTGTTAGTCTAGACTGTATTCAGTCTGAATTAACAAAGCATATTGTAAATCTTCGTTCTACGGTTTCGTCCGGCATTAGCAATAAATCTAATCAAAGAAAAACAGTACAAGAGGCTAATAATATGAATTTCTCTATTTTGAAATTAAACAGTTCATTTTTAAATGTACAAGGTATTCTGAGTAAAAAATATCCTCTTGAAGTTTCATGTGTCAAAAAGGAACTAGATATGCTGTCTTGCAGAACATTGGCTGGAATCTAACTTAGGGGATGTACTTAACTGGTTATAAAATAGTTTCATTCTTTTGTAGGGAAAATTAAATAAGAGGAGGAACTATGATTTATGTAAGAAATAATTTTGTATGCAAAGAAATAACAAATGTAACAAATTTAAGTATAGAAGAGGTTTTTGAAGTATCTGCCTGTATTGTTGAGGACGTAAAAACATTATTTATCTGTTTGTATGTAAATCCAGTTGAAAATAATAAAAGACTATTTCTTGACAGGTTTTGTATTGCTGAATACTCTGAATGCTATGAAAATGAATATAGTAATAAGTGCAGATCTTAAAATTTTAACAAACTGTTGAGTTTGCTTACGTAAAAAGTAGTATACATAAGCTTCAGGGCCATTTTTGAGACACTTTAATCATCAAAATCGGTTCAAAAATGAGGTAGGATTTCTGTTTACAAAAATCGGCTTCGCGTTTATATACTAGGTGAAACAAGACGAAATCAACGGTTACTTTCAAGGCTTACGCTAATTCATCTAACTGCGATAAATTGAGTGAAATGATACATATTTTGAGCATTTGAAATTGTTTTTTGTTCAAAGAGTAATAAGTGTAAAACAATAATGATATTAATTTCGTTATTTAGCAAAAATGGTTGATAATTCAACGAATAAAATATTTTCCATACCGTACGTCATCGGAGTTATTATTAGTATGTTATCTGGTATCTCTTCCTTTGGAAGAAATTTTAAATAGGATTAAAATCGTATTGGTGGATCTTTTGTAGCTGAACACTTCCGTGATTTCATCAGTGTAATGGAGATTAAATCTATGATTTTATTTGAAAAAAAAATATCTGTTTTTTGGGAAGACACGTTCTAACTTAAAAGGGGGGTATTTCCGTTACAGTGTTTGATTTTTCCTTCGTCACGTCGGGTCATTTCATATCGTACTTCTGTGATAAAAATTGAGGGAGGAGTTCTGTTCACAAGAATCGGCTTAGCGTATTATATATAGAAAAGGTTTAATTGTTAATAATAACTCAAAT